TCCCAGTGAAAAACATTACTCTAGTAGTTACTACAATGCACTGGGAAATAAGAAACAAAAGACCAAAAAAAAGTCATCCCCCTCATGTCGGAGAATAACCCTTGTTGGTGCAATAACTTAACCTCTCTATGCCTAAGTTCTCCTTACACACAAAATGAAAGTTACAAGTTCTCATGAAAATGTCTGGAAGTTTAACATTATTATTTTGTGGGAATTCCCTGGCATCCCAATGGTTAGGACCCCACGCTTTCACTGCAGACGGCGCAGGTTCAATCCCTAGTTAGGGAACTAAGATCCTGCAAGCCGCGCAGCATGGCCAAAACCCCCCAAAAAACAAGAGCAAAAAACCCATTACTGTTTTGAGAGCTTCAATTCAATAAGATAGGATGGGAGGGCCTGGCAAAATAGGGAATCAACTGTGGAGGGCCTGGAATCACAGGCCGCAGAGTTGGACCTTCACGTAAGGGAGACTTGGGAAGATTACTGAACAGGGTAGTAGCATAATCATCAATACCTGTGTCTTAGGAGGAAAACTGGCAGCAGTGTATAGAATGGTGAGAGAGAGATGGAACTAAGAAAAGTTATGAGAGTATTGCAGAGGGCCAGACCAGGGTGGGGGGGAGATAAATTAAGAGTTTGGGATTAACATATATGCAATACTATATATAAAATAGATAAACAAGGACCTACTGTATAGCACAGGGAACTATATTCAGTATCTTGTAGTAACCTATAATGGAAAAGAATCTGAAAAAGAATATATATATGTATATACATGTATATATATGTATAAAACTTAATCACTTTGCTGTACACCTGAAACTAATACAACATTGTAAATTAACTCTACTTCAGTTTTTTTTCATGGTTTTTAAAAAACGGGCCAGACAAGAGATGCTGAGGGTAATTGCTGTGGAAGGGGGTTGGGAGGAGGAATGAGACCAGTTTAAGAGGTAACAGCACATGATAAGTTACAGATGTAATAGGATTTGGTTACTAAATGGTGTAACGAGTGAGGGAGAGGAAGGAAGGACTTGAATGGGACTTAGGTTTCTGGCCTGAACATCTGAAGATACTGATGCCATTAGCTGAATGGGAGTACAGGATTGCTTGTTTGTGCGTGTGTGTAATAGAAAAAGTGGGGCAGGGGGTAAGGAATGACTTTTGTCTCAAGTGCCTGTGGACACCCGTGTGGTGCTCTACAACTGGACAGTTAGAGTATGCCTGGGGACATTTCTTGGTATAAAGAAAAGGAATACTCTTGTAATGTGAACAGCTCATTTAAATAGTGCTCAACCATTAGCGCCCCAAACCCTGAGATAGTTATTGCCTCGCTAGCAGTAAAAGCTTGATTACAGCCCCTGACTGATAACGGTGTAAAGAGCCTGGGTACCCACAACTTCTACGGGCAAAATATTAATTGTGATTAATTATCGTGTGGCACTATACAAAGACTAGATGATTTACTGTGGCTTCTGGAGGGCGCTTGCTTGGTTTTTCGCCGCAGCCCTCAGAGAACGGGAACTGGACAGCTCCCCGGGTGGCCTTCGGCCCTTCTGCGATCAGAGCCGCCCAGCCGCGAGCAGTCTCCAGACACGTGAGCCTGGGCCTTCGGGCCCACTCGGCCAAGGGTGGTTCGACCTTGGGCGGAGGGCACTTCCTTCCTTCTTCCGCGCTCTCGGACCCCGGCCCCGTCGGGGCGGGCGGGGCGGGGCTGCTCCGAGGCCCCGCCGCCGGCCCCGCCCCGCTTGCCGGCCGCCGCCGGCTCCCTCCGGCCCGCGGTGCGGTGCGCGCCTGCGCCAGCCCTCGCCTCGGAGCAGCCATGATGGTGGGTGTCCGCCGCGCCGAGCCCCGGGCGCGCGGTGGGGGCGGCGGGCGCGGGGCGGGTGCGGGGGCCGCGCCGGCCTGACACTAATGTCTCCCCTTATGTCCCCCCCACTCCATCCTTTCCCCGGCGCGGCGGGCCCCGCCGACCTCGCAGGAAGGCCTGGACGACGGCCCCGACTTCCTCTCGGAGGAGGACCGCGGAGTAAGTTCTGCCTCCTTCTGGCTAGCGGGACCCTCCCTCCCCCGCCTTGGTCCAGGGGTGTGGTACGAGAGATGGGTGTCTCCGGTCGCGCGGCACCCCCTCTCCTCCGGCCTCCTTTCGATTTCCTCGCCGCACCGCGCCCCGCCCTCCTGCAGCCCTTCCTCCCTTGGGGCCGTTCGGTTCTGATTTCCCGGGGACCCGCGGCCGCTCTTGGCCCCCGCCGCGGCTCCGACTCTTCTGTGGACCTCCTTCCCCGCCCGGTCCGGCTGCAGGTAGGGAAGTGGAGGTGGAGGCCGGAGCTGGACACCCGCCGCCACCACGTTGGGGACTATGAAAACCCATTGTCAGACCTTCCTGCCGGCACCTTCAATTTCCCCTTGGGGGGACCTCTCGAACCCGCCCTTGCCCACCCTTCTTTTCCTCTAAAACATTACAGTACGGGGTTGTTCTAAATTACCCTTTTGCACGGGATTTTACAGTCGCCGAATCTAAACTCTTCTCCAGTATCCTATCAGATTTTGTAAAGTGCTGGTAGTCCACAGTACCTTTACTTTTCCTAATGTCCAAAAAAATACATCTTTTGCAGAGATCCCTTGGTGGTGATTTGAGGCAGTGCATTTCAGTTCAGAAAGGGCCTTCAGGGCTGTGATTCCTCCCTCCCACGCTCTACCCCCATTTACCTTGGCCGAAGGGTAGTAATCTGTATAGTGCCTTGTACAAGTGAGCACTTGAAAAATACTGATACATGATGATTGCAGCTCAGCAACGTTCCATGGTTCCTTCACATTTAACAGTTTGCACTTTAGTTTTCCGTTTTGCTTTTACTTATTTATCTTAGACAATGTGAGAGACACGTCTGTTAGTCGATTTGGGGCAGGTGATAAAATATTCTTATAGGATGTTATTCCTGGTTTTTTTAAATAAGAGATAAGGTAGTTAGTATTAACTGATGACCTTTATAAAGTTTTAAAATGGTAAGAAAGATGCAGAAGGTGCTGCATATTTTTATAAACGATGAATTAATAAATTTCTCAGTTTACAGAAAAGCATCATTTAGAATTACTGGTTAGCATGAAAGCATCATGTAGGATTTCTGGTTATTTCTTAAAATTTTAGGTTCTAATGAATTTTAAGACAAAGTGCATGTGTATGAATGTGTATATGTATCTTCTGGGGTAGGTGAATCATAGTAATAGTCATATCTGGGCACTGTGTTAGCACTGTATAAGCATTGTTTCATTATATCCTCTTATCATCCTTGTGAAGCTTTTAGTATCCCCCATTTACAGATGAGAAACCTGAACCTCAGAGAAACTAAGTAAGTAGTCTGAAGTCACACAGCCAGTGAGTGAGAGAGGTGGACTTTAAACCATGTTGCTGACATCAAAGCCAGCGCACATATTTCTCAAAGTCGCCTTGAAACACTTGCATCAGAATCACCTGGGGTGTTTGAAAAACTAAAGTCAAAAGTTTCTGGGCCCACCCTCTAGTAAATCAATCTCTTGAGGTAGGGAGGACAGATAAGTACTTTGTTAACAAGCAAGAAGATTCCATTGTACACTGAAGTCTGTTATGGCTGCACAAAGTTATCCTGCTATTTCCTCATTTCAGGAACAGAAATTTCAGGCCTGTTTAAATTTCCTTATATTGTGTTTGTCCTGATAGAAATAGATTGCCATAAATAGATTAGAACTTTTAGGAATTGCACTTTTAGTTTAGATTGTCTTGTTCAGCCTTTTAAGAAAGTCTTGATAGAGAAAAAGCATGCAGTACATATTTGATACAAATTGTAGGGGGGACATCACAGATTCAAAAATAATAGTGCAAGCATTTCATTCAAAGCAGTAAGTAAGCACAATTAAAGGCAGCATTTTTAAATACATTTTTAAGCAGGATTAAATTTTCATTATGATATTTGGAACAGAAGAGAGTCTTACAGCCTTAAGAATATACTGTTTTGTAAGAAACTTAAAAAGCAGACTTTAAGAATACACAATATTGAAAATTATTGGCCACTTTTTGATCTCTTCGGTTACACCTCTGCATAGTAGGGTATTTTTTTCTTTCCCAAAGGGAGGACAGTAACATATTATTTACTAAACAAATGAGCCCTTTGAACTGGACACATTTTGCTCTGATGTGCTTGTTAAATAGAGCAGTACATGCCAGCATGATGGCGTAATTCTCTTAGCATTTGATTTGAATTCTAAATAATATGTTTATTGTTTTCAGAATTACTTCAGGTGGAGGAAGTGCACCTCTCCTGGACTCCTAGCCTTGCTCCTCCCTCTTATTCCTTATCTTCATTAATGTCATCATTTGTAGTCCTTCATGCAAGAAGCTTCTGAATCATAACCTTCATCCCCATACCAGAACAGTCACTGAGGCCAGATAATTTCACCTCAGAAATGTTGTTAGCCCATCTTTCATTTATATGGCCGCAGTTAAGTTCCCTCTATCTCTTGCCTGGACTGTAGCAGTATCTGTCATTGGTCTGTCTCCAGGCTCTCTACTTTCCAGTCCAGACTGCACATGACTGGTAGTTACCTAACTGAAATGATTAGATCATATGGCACCAATAGTCACGAGGACTTATGGGGACCCAGTTCTTTTTGCAGTAAGGTCCAAACTCCTTATGCTAGCATTGAACACCGTTCATAACCCTTTCTGGCTGACTTCATTTCTCAAGATGCCCCTGCCCCATACACACACACACACACACACACACACACACACACACACACACAATAGGCATATTCTAGTCTACTTGTCATTGCCCAACCACCTCTGCACTTTAATGTCTGCTTTATGCATGCTTCTCAGTGTTGTGGTTTTTTTTTCCCTCACCTTTTTTTTCACATGAAATTTGACTTACCTTTTAAGACTTGACCCAGATGTTTGCATTTTCTTTTGTACCTACTCAGCATTTAGCTTGAACATATTCCACATTTATTGATAGTTATTTCCGATAAAAACGTGACATAGACTTCGTTGGCAAAGGATAAGATGAATGTTGGCAGAGGAAGAAGAGAAAGTTCCTGCCCTGGGGCCATGGCAGTGTAGTGAGGAGCTTACCGGTGAAGTGCCCACCGTGGGAGCACAAAGGAGAGTGAAGACGTAATGGTAACTACACACTGATGAAGTGTTTGCTGCATACTAGGGACTTTCCACACATCAACTCAATTCTCACATCCCTGTGAAGTAACTGCTACTATTATTCCTACTTTGGAAAGGAAAAGTGAGGTTCAGAGAGATTAAATAACTTGCCCTGGTTCATACAGCCGGTATGAGCTGTATTCAAACTCAGGGAGTCTAGCTATAGGTACTGGGCTGTTAACCACTGTGCTGTTGCCTACAGGAGCTAAGCCTTAAATGTTGATTGTGTAGGCTCCCAGGGATGGGGAAGGCTTGCCAGCAGAGAGGATAACATGTAGGTAGGTCATTAGGTTCCACCTGGAGCACTTTTTCTTACTGGAAGCAGGAGTAGATTATGGGTAATACAGATAAAGTGCATAATGTGGGAAGTCCTGAGGGATCACCAGCTAGGAAGGACATATGCCCAGATGAAAATAGCATTGTAGATGACTCCGATGTGGAAGGTGGATTGCTTCTTCCTTGCAGAAGGCAGAGAAACCTGTTACCAGGCTTTTGCGGCAGTCCAGATGAGAAATGTTAAAGGTAGAACTAAGGCAGTGGAAGAAGGGATGAAGGAGGGGACATAGCAGAGAGATATTTAGGAGATAGAATGCACAGGGCATAGTGGCTGAATAAATACATGCGCTAGACAGAAGAGAAGGAGATGAGGAATATACGAGAGAATAGCAGAGTTAGAAGGTAGATAATAAGTTTTGGTTTTCAGGTATGTTGGATTTGAAGTGCCTGTGAAGTGTCTAATCCCTTCCCTGCCAAACTAGAAAGTAAGATCTGAAAGGGTGAAGATTGTGTCCTTTCATTGCTCTATCGCAAGCACATCTGACAGTGGTTGGCACGTTGAAGGCACTCAGTTTAATAAGTAAATACATCCAGGTGGATATGTCTAGTTAGTAACTTGAAATTATGATTGGGAACTTAGAATAAGAGGTGTGAGTTGAAGGTATAAATTTCAGAGTTATTAGTCAAGAATGGCCAAGTTTGCCAACGCTAGATAGTACCCAGCGGGAAACAGCATTCACAGGCCAAGGAGAAGAAATGGACTAACTGATGGGGCTGAGATGAGTGGGGAGAAAATGAAAAGAGTCCCCAGAAGTTGAGAGAATTTTAAGGACATGGTCAGAATGATCATTGAGGCAAAATACCGAAGAGAAATCAAGAAGACTGCAAAGTATTGGATTTGGAAATTAGGTCCTCACTGTGTGGAGGTGTTGTGAGACCAGGGCTAACTTGACTAGAAGAGCAGTGTACAAGCAGGTTCTAGAGCAAACAGGCAGATTACCTGCTCAGGTAGCCGGAGAGCTCTGCTCTCCATGGGACACCACTCCTTCTGAGAATGCAGAGGAGATGGTGAGTACAGATCTATTTATAGAAAGGCTTATTGATGGGTCTGAGGGAAAACAGCTGCTAGTGTTTATTTTTTGGGGGTGTGGGAGACAGGGTCACTTGTTGAGCATAGGGCGGAAATGCAATCGAGGGTTGAGATAGTAAAGCTTTGGAGTGGTTGCTCAGGGAATCAGAAGGGGAGCTGAGCAGATTGGCCCTGGACTGTGGAATGGTTTTAAGAGTCTAATGCAGTTGGGAGAGCAATAGTTTGTAGTGGACAAGCACAGACAGTTGTGACTTTTGCCACACTCAGCTCAAAAAAGCAAAGAAAGTTGATGATTGAATTGATCCTACATGTGGGAATTTGCAAGCCAAGTACGGCAAAAGAGCAGTGGGAGTTGACAAGACCAGCAAGAAAGGCATTGGAGTGACATCATGCGACTCTAGTAATGTTTTGTTATTCCTAGTATGATGGATGAAAGGGAATCTAGTTTCCAGAAAGTATATGTATAATCAACCGTTGATTTGACTGCTGAGTATACAGAATATCATAATGGAAATAATTTATTACAGGACTTCCAAAATCATAACTGGTTGTAAATCAACTACTTCAATAAAAATTTTTTTTAAATCATAACTGGACTAGGAGTAAAATAGATTTAAATTTTGGCCTGAGTTAGTGAACTTAACAGAATTTCTGTCTGCTTCATGGGTTTTTTCACTGATTATACTGTAATTCCCTAGAAATAGTTTCTCAGCCCTGTTACGGTTCGCGCCTTTCTTTCAGGGCTGCAGTGAGCCAGAAGAATAGGGCCTGGGGGGGCACTGTAAGGATTAGGCTTTTCTCTAAGTGGGAACCCCTTAGGTTTTGAGCAGAGGAGTGATTTCTAGTTTAGTGGGATGGTTCCAGTGGCCCTATAAGGAGTATAGATTGAAGAGGGAAAGAGGCAGAAGCAAGAGACCAGTTGGGAGGCTGTTGCAATAATCAATTATTTTCCTTCTTCCTTCCTCCTCCATCCATCCATCCATCTCTGTACATGTACTTTTCTGGCAAAAGATTAACAGTTACGTTTTTAGGAGTGTCATAAGGTTGATACTTTAACATGTAAACACATCAGTGTAGTAAACTAATAGTGAATGTCCTCTTTACTAAGTAATTATATGTGAAGAATTAATCTATCAGCAGTAGGGCAGTGTCTTTAGATTATTTTTCTAAGGATAGTGTGTTTTGCTTAATCATTTTCTCTGCCTGGGCTTTCTCTTGACCATGACACAAGTGTTTAACCTAGTCAGTCTTTGACAAAAGGAAGTACAAAGTTTATTGGCCCAGATAAGGATTAAACTGGTGAATATAGTCCAGTTAGAATTTCCTCAAACTGACCTCACTACTTGCACAGTTAATTAAATGTTGATGATCACAAGTTGTTTGCTTTGACTCTTCCCCTTAACGAAAACTGTCTAAAATGACTGACTTTTCTGTAAACAAAGAAGAAAATCCACCTGGAAAATCTGTGTACATTTTATGTAATTAACACTAAATTTACAGGAATTCCCTGCTGTCCAGTGGTTAGGACTCCGTGATTCCACTGCAGGGGGCCTGGGTTCCACCCCGGTTGGGGAACTAAGATCCTGCAAGCCGTGCGTCATGACCAAAAGAACAAAAACAAAAAGAAAAACCCACACACTAAATTTACAATATGATATTTTATTAAATCTAAGGCACAACTGATTGGAAGACATATTTTCCAGTGCTTTAATATGCTTTAATAAGGCATACAAGAGAGAATTTATCAAAGAGTTAGAAAGTAAGAAGTAGAGGAATAAAAGCAAAGGAGGGAGCTTCTGGGGCTGATGGAAATGTTCCATATCTTAATTATGGTGATGATTACAGGGGTGTAACCTACATATTTGTTTAAACTCTTCAAACTATATACTTAAAATCTGCAGCTCATTATATGTAAACTATACCTAAAAAATAAAGGACAAGACCAAAAGTGGTAAATGTATAATACAGGAATATTTTTTATTGATAAGTTACAATTTTAAAAACCCAGGTGTTTTACTATCAGACAAAACAAAGCAAAAAAAGGGGAACAGTGTATTTGGTATAAAAGGATAACGAAATGGAAGACAGAGAAATATTTTAATAATTTAAAATAATCTTTAATTGGAAGAAAAAATAACAGCCCTTCATATGTAGAAATCCTGAAAGGTGTGTTTCCAAATTGATGGCGCAACGGTTAAAAAAAAAATAAACCTGAAAATTAAAATATACTTAGAGATATGAAATCTGGCAAAAATAATCATTGAAAAGAAAATATTAGCATTTGAGATGAAGTTTTGACAGAATGTAAAGACAAAGACAACCTGGAAAATCTAGGCCGGTGTTCCCAAGTACAGTTTTTAAGGCTCATTCTGAAGATTCTGTTTTGATACGTCTGGGATAGGGTGTGGGATTCTGTATTTTTTAACAAGCATCCAGGTTGAGTCTTATGAGTTGTGTCTGAAAAATCCTAGACTAGGCAGTGAAAATAAGAAATGGAGAATTGCTAAGGTTATTATTCCAAAAACCATATGATAAATTTATGAGTTTCCTGTGGCTGCTATAACGAATTACTGCAAACCTGACGGGTTAACACAACAGAATTTATTCTCTCACAGTTCTGCAGGCCCGAAGTCTGAAATCACTATCACTGAGCTGAGATCAAGGTGTTGGCAGGGCCATGCTCCCTGAGGCTCTAGCGAAGAATTAGTTACTTATCTCTTCCAGCTTTCTCATGGCTGCCTGCAATCCTTGGCTTGTGGCTTTACCACTCTAATCTCTGCCTCCGTAGTTAAGTTGCCTTCTCTTCTTTTGTCTGTGTCAAATTTCCCTCTGCCTCCTTCTTATAAAGATACATGTAATTGTATTTAGGACCCACCTGGATAATCCAGGATAATCTCCCCACCTTTTTTACCATATAAGGTAACATTCACAGGGATTTGGATATGGATGTCTTTTGGGGAGCTGTAATTCATCCCACCACAATAAACATCTTAAGAGTGGCCTGAATGTGAGTAAAGAGAAATAAGGAAACAGATTTCTTAAATTAGAATTAAGGTAAGGGGTTAGAGAACAGGTAGGAAGGACAGTTTGAAGACGTAAGACTAAATAAAAGCAAGAAAACCAAAGAACAAAGTACTCTCTAATGTTTCCAATACTTCAGAAGCAATGAAGATAGTTGGAAAATGAAAAAGAATACTCCTTTGTAATTCAAAACAACCTTTAAGTTCATTTCTTTTATCAGACAGTGGGCTACATGTAGCATTGAGTACAATAGCAATTTTTTAAACATTATAAAATATTTTTATGTAAGTTTATAGTATTTTAAAAATATGATTACTGATTGAAATTTATTTTAATATAAACTTATTAAAGTTTTCATTAAAGGCCATGCAATTTAAATAGTGATTAATTTCTTCTGTGACTCTTAAGTTAGATTGTATATAATGGTATTTATTTTTTAAAAACATGTCTAGTCAGTACAGAACCAAAAGAGCAAAAATGAAATAGTATGTTACTTTCATTACTAATAAACAACCCTATTTAATGGAAAACTTCACAAAATTCATCTTTTAATAAATCACAAGATTTCTTAAAGGCTTATTTTTTTCCTATTTATAAAAGTAATACATGCATATTGTGGAAAGTTGGGAGAATAAAAGAATATACAAAGAAGCAAATCCACTGCAACTCACATTTTGTTGTATTTCCTATAAGCCTTTTATGTATGCATTTTTTAACATCTTTATTAGAGTATAATTGCTTTACAATGGTGTGTTAGTTTCTGCTTTACATCAAAGTGAATCAGCTATACGTATACATGTATCCCCATATCTCCTCCCTCTTTTCGTCTCCCTCGCACCCTCCCTATCCCACCCCTCTAGGTGGTCACAAAGCATGAGCTGATCTCCCTGTGCTATGCGGCTGCTTCCCACTAGCTATCTATTTTACATTTGGTAGTGCATATAAGTCCATGCCACTCTCTCACTTCGTCCCAGCTTACCCTTCCCCCTCCCCGTGTCCTCAAGTCCAGTCTCTATGTCTGTGTCTTTATTCCTGTCCTGCCCCTAGGTTCTTCAGAACCATTTTTGCATTTTTTTAATATAATTGAGATCATAGAATAAACAATTTTGCTTCCAGCATTTTTTCCATTTACATTGTAATTGAAATTTGAAAAACTAATGACTAGGTAAGATTCCAAAGTCAGTCCTGGCTTTTACAACTAGAGTATTTGAAGCAAGCTACTTAGTTACACTTTAAATATTTCATATCTTTGCAGCTGGCTGAGACTTTATCTTTTAGTGTGTTTGCTTCTTTTGTAAATCTCCAAATTACCCAAAGATGTTAGAATGTTTATTTGTTTAAAGGGGAAGAAAAATGGGTGAAATTTAAGAATTATAAGTAGAATTATGATTAGAATTATATGTGGAGAAGTTTTCTCATAAATGGGTAAATAGAAATGGGTGTATAGAGTAAAATTTAATTTAGAAGAGTTAAAGAATACTGTAGAGTAAAATTTAATTCATATCACAGGAGTTAATTATTGAGTATTATATGTTATCTTTTTTTAGCATTTTACATATACATAATACATATATGTAATATATTTAATTATCATTAATAGTTTTATTGTATATTCCTGAATTAAAATAAGCAATAGAGTTTAAATGATTGGCCAGTATTCTTTTTATTATTTTTCTTGTTCTTAAAGGTAGATATATTTTAGAACACTTGAACTTTTAAAGGACCATCTTCTTGGAAAATAGTTTACTTTTTGGGTGAAACTGTAATAATGTTTAGCACATTGACTCATACAAAGCAAAGTAGAGTTGCATGGTGTAGAATGAAAATTGGTTAAGATAATAACATACCCAAAGCATCTCCCCCCAAATAGATAGATAGATAGATAGATAGGTACAGATATAGATATATAGAGTAAATGAACTTGAGTACTTTTTAGATTTCAGATTCTTTAGTTTCGTTTTTGCATTGTCTTATTGTCTGGGAGAAGAATTAAATTGTGTAAAAGCCTACAGAATTTTCATTGAGTTATTATTTTCTTTTTCTAGCTTAAAGCAATAAATGTAGATCTTCAAAGTGATGCTGCTCTGCAGGTGGACATTTCTGATGCTCTTAGTGAGAGAGATAAAGTAAAATTCACTGTTCACACAAAGGTAAATGGGATTTTGTGCTTCTGTTATTTTAGTTATTGTGCTAATGTTACATATATAATAATATATTGACTAGAATTTTGGTTTTGAACATAATTAGAAATTCTATTTTAGTTTATAATTCACTGCTGTTATTTTAACAAAACGTTTTAGGGAAGTGTACTTTTTAAAGATTAACATTTGAGAATCATAGAACTTAGACATAGTACCAATTTAATTTTCTCTAGACTTTAATATCTTTTACCATTCTTGTTATTTTCAATTTCGGTACATTCCTTCAGTTAAATTACTGTTGTTGTTGTTTTGTTTTTTTTTTTTGTGGTACGCGGGCTTCTCACTGTTGTGGCCTCTCCCGTTGAGGAGCACAGGCTCTGGACGTGCAGGCTCAGCGGCCATGGCTCACGGGCCCAGCCGCTCCATGGCATGTGGGATCTTCCCGGACCGGGGCATGAACCCGTGTCCTCTGCATCGGCAGGCGGACTCTCAACCACTGCGCCACCAGGGAAGCCCTAAATTACTGTTTTAACAGACTATTTTCTTTTTAGATTTCAGTTCTCAGGCACATTTTCAGATTGTGATCTATTTTTCTTTGTTTGAATAGTTGAGTTTGTTATATTTATAGGATAACTTTGTAATGGTAGAAATACAATATAATAAGAGGCTGTCAGCTTATTTTCTCAAAGATCCCAGGATAATTTTGTCTGGGTGTCTCAGGGTTTTCATAATAGAGTGTAAAAGCACTGAGAATCTTTCATAAAAGACTAATTTTAAAAAATAAGGTATAAAATGTTAAAAGTGTTTTTAGTGTAACTTCGATTTTTATTTGAGAGAATCTCTTTCTTTGCAGAGTTCATTGCCAAATTTTAAACAAAACGAGTTTTCAGTTGTTCGACAACATGAGGAATTTATCTGGCTTCACGATTCCTTCGTTGAAAATGAAGACTATGCAGGTTACATTGTAAGTGTTGAGGTTCCATTTTAATCCCATTTTCTAGGAGCTTTTTAGATACTTTATTATGTGTTGAAATCTTCTTTTGCACTTGTAGTGAACTGAGGCAGTTTTTTTAAATTGCCAGCTACAAAATGTAATTGACTACCACTTTTATCCTGAGTTGTCTTGTTTGGGAGTGTGGGGATATGGATACGTTATTCCCCCTCATTTAAACTTAAATTCCTACTGTTTATTAGAATAGAAATGGGCTTTTCCTAGGGCGTAGCTAAGGGGGTATTACAAACCATACTGGCCTTGAACCCTTAGGTAGACAGATGCTTAGAGTTGGAGGGCTCCTTAAGAGATTATCGAATATAAATATGCACTGGGTGTTGTGCCTCAGCTGTTGACCACAGTCAGATTTCTGAAGTTTAGTTTCATTTGATTTCCTTGAAATCATCCTGAGCTCACCTGATTCCACCTTTATCCTTGTGGCCCCTCCTTCTCAATCATTTGCTTTTTTTTTCTTTCTACAAGTTGAGTTTGGTGGACAACTGGCAGTACTTTTTCTTTTTCTTTTTTTCTTTTTGGTTAATTAACAGTTTATATAAAGGATACAACTCAGGAACAGCCAAATGGAAGAAGAGATGCATAGGATGAGGTATTGGAGTGGGGGGTTGACAGATAACTTTCATGACCTTTCCAGGATGTTGTACCACCTTCCATTTTCCCAGCATGTCGATGTGTTTAGCAGCCTGGAAGCTCCTCCTATTTCCTTTTTTTCCCTCATCTTCTTGTGTGATGACATTTTCTTATTACTTTTTTCTCCCATAGACTAAACACTCATCAAAGATCAAGACCATGTCTTATTTATCTTTATATGCCAGTTGTTCAGTATCATGCTTGGCACATAGTAGATGCTGTGTGCGGGCATCAATGAATGTGTGCTGATCTGTATTTGATGCTTCCTTCCCTATTGCTTTTCTTGGTGTACTCCTTTTCTTCAAGTCATTGTTATTTTAACTTTCCGCTACTTAACCTTTTCTTCCTCTTACTTGCTCTGTTTGCTTTCCATCATTTCCCCTTAACAGTTCTTACTTGTAGGCTCTTCCTCCTACAATAAGGTTTTTCTTATATCCTTCCCTTGAGTAATATGTCTCTTCTAGATCTTATATTTTTATTTAAGGTAGTGCTTACTTACCCACTTACTGTGGGTGAATAAGATGAGATTAGTCATTAGTCTGTATCTTGTTCTCTTGTTGTTAAGTCAGTGCTTTCTGCCTCTGGTACACTCTAATCATACCATTTACATACTTTTGAAAAATAGTATACATATTTGCTACACATTTATTTAGTGTGTACTCAAAGCTTAATGCACATAGACATTTGAGGACTCTAGGTTGCCACATCTAGAATCTGCAGACTAAAGTTCTGGTACTGTTCTAACACCAGAAAATAGTACTCTGCTCTTGTTTCTTCCTTGGTGTAAAGGATCTCAAGGATCTTAATTTCTAGACTTAATCAAATTCTCTAACCTTAATCGGGATATTCCTGGTATCCAGTTCATTCAGGATGACTTTAGCTCTCTCAGACAATAGTCTTTTATGGTGGCAGCAGTACAATTGCTGCAAGAAATTAAAGTCTTTAAAACTAGTGATTTGGGGGACTTCCCTGGCAGCCCAGTGGTTAAGACTCCGTGCTTCCACTGCAGGGGGCATGGGTTTGATCCCTGGTCAGGGAAGTAAGATCCCGCATGCCGTGCAGTGCGGTCAAAAAACTAGTGATTTGGTTCCATTACAGATCCCTCCAGCACCACCAAGACCTGATTTTGATGCCTCAAGGGAAAAACTACAGAAACTTGGAGAAGGAGAAGGGTCTATGACAAAGGAAGAATTCACAAAGATGAAACAGGAGCTGGAAGCGTATGTGATTTTTCTTGTTAATTGTGCTTATTTTAGTGCCTTTTTTGTTTTGTTTTTGTTTTTTTGCTCTGTGATATCCCATCCTTTCAATCATTTCACCACATTGACCCTTTCTGGAAGATACAGGTTTAAGCCATACAACCAGTGTTAACGGTCATGATCAGAGCCTACAGGAAAATTATAGAATAATTGTCTGCACTTTAAAATTCTTTAAATTACATTTTTAAATAAACTCTGAAAATTGAAAACAGGGGATCCAAAAGTTTATAAAAAATAGTAGAAAGGGAAATAATGACTTTTTTAAAGCACAGTGTAAATCTTTTCATTTGTTATTTACAAGGCCTTAGTCACTACTCACCTGGTTCTCTTTTTTTGACAAGTGCATACTACCAAGACTTCTGTTTCTCATAGCAGTGTGCACTGAGCAACTCTGAATATATTCTGCTTTCTTTTTCAAAAAGTGTGTGTGTGTGTGTGTGTGTGTGTGTGTGTGTGTGTGTGTGTAATTTTCCCCCTCCTCTTTTCTCTGCCTGTGGCTTCTGGCTGAAGGGAAAAGAATAGGAGCAGAGAGAGAATAGAGAATAGTTTTTTAATGTTTTTTATTAAGTGATTATTAGTTTCATATATACTAGACATATTAAATCCTTGGAAAAAATTGAGATAATTTCTATTTCATTTTTAGCATATTTGCTGAAAATAGTTTTTCCTCTTTTATTAAACATTCAAAATAATTTTGGATTTGCTATATATTGTTTTTCTGTATTTTGAGAGTTATACAAGGAAATAACGTTCCTTGCATTATCATCACGTTCATCACTCTTTTTCTGGTCATTTCTCCCTTTTGTGCATTTCCTTTTCTCTTCTTGCACTGAATTTCAGTTTTTAAGCATATTTTCACAGTGCTACTAGACTCCTTCAGATGCTAAACTCTTGACAAGATAAATTAACAAAGTAGGTCTTCTTTGTTAAAGTGTAAGTGACAGATATTTTAAGAATTCTGTCCATACTGAGTGCAAGCAGTAGTCTGATAGCAGACAGATATATAATTCTATAGTTTATAAGGCTGAAAGCTGGAAATTAGCAGAGCACATTAATTTTGAAAGAATCAGTGGTTTTCCAGTGGCCCTGATCATGATTCTTTTGTGGTCTGGTTAGGGGTTGGATAACAGAGAACCTTGGGTTTATTCTCCTGCTACCTCCATCCTCTGCATCCTTCTTTTTTGTCTTCACTGAATGACTACCCTCACAGAGATCAAACTTCTCCCAACATTGGTCCTGCTGGTTTGCTGGTATGTAAAACTTATCCTCCTTGCACGTAGTTGAAGCAAGAATATTGGGCCTTTTCCTTGAGTGTTTTTTCGAAACTGACATGTATTACTATATGATCACTGTGATTCACTGATGATAGTAAAATATTTTAAACACAGTTCTTCAATTGTAATGGCAAAAATTAGTCTCTCCATGGTGTGTTTCTTTCTTGTGTGCTTGGGTCATTAGATGAAAATAGTTATTAATGTTGAAAATATGATTAGTGATACTGAGGTTTGGTTTCTGATTTTTTTTTATGAAGGTGTTCAAAAGCAGTAATTATCTAGAAATTGAATTATTAAAGTTGTACAGTATAATTTGTAGTATACTTTCTCTGAAGCTAAAAACAAAAACCCCTATAGTTACCTTTAACATCAACCTGCATAGGAAGAAAGGTTCATAAAACCTAAAAATATTAACATTTAAATGTAATAAATACTATTAACTAGCATGAAGCCTTTTCAGAGCTGGGTTTTATATATTGAATATTTCATTAACAGTTCAACTAAAAGCTTTGTTTACATGGATTATATCTTTGTATCTCTAATTTTGCGTTTAGAATAATTCAAAGAGTATTTGCTGAAAAAATTGTTGCAGATGTTTTTCTGCAGTATTTTACCTTTAATTTTGTGTATTGTTTCTAGTGAGTATTTGGCAATATTCAAGAAGACCGTTGCAATGCATGAAGTGTTCCTGTGTCGTGTGGCAGCACATCCTATTTTGAGGAAAGATTTAAATTTCCATGTCTTCCTGGAATATAATCAAGATGTGAGTATTGATCAAAGTAGTGATCAAGGTTTATTTTTAAAGCATCACTGGAAAGAGTAGGGAGTTGTTAGAAAAGGCTTAAGGCCTTATAAAAACATTTTATAAAATGTTCTTATTTTTCAAGCAGTTTAAAATGACTCTTTTTCATGGGACCTCCCTCATCAATATATTCTCCAATGACATTCATGATTCTGCCCAAGGTCTCAGGGCCAACAGGAATTTTGACTGGTGCACCAGAATCCAGGACTTCTGGCCTCTAACCAAGCCTTCTCTACCATCCATGGCAGTGGTCCTTGCTGTGCTCTCACCCAAATGTTGGGCCAACTTCAAAACCAGCCTGGTCTCCCTGCCTTGCACTTCCAGGGCATTTAGGATGGGTGGCAGTCCCTCATCAAATTGGACATCCACCACTACACCAATGACCATGACAGTGTGCCCAGTGGCGGTGCCTGCCTTTGGCGAGGGAGATGTTTAAGCGGCATTGTCTCTGGCAGGCTGGAGCGGCTCCCAGTATGAGCTGGGCTTGGGGTAGCGGCGCTGAAGGGCTGAGTCCCTGAAAGGCCCCAGAGGCGAGGGCAACGGCCACATGACCCACAAGACCCAACATGGCGGAGCCCGGGGCGGGGCTGGAATTAAGAGCATTTGACTTTGACACCTCACCTCCCAGTCAAGTGAGAAAAATCCCTGCTGGGTTCCTCATCTCAGAAAAGAGTCTTTTAGATTCAACACAAAATGTGATGCTATTATCGTCTGGAGCAGAATGCCATCCCTAAGTCCCTCACATCTCTAGGTGAAGCTGAGATGCTGGGCAAATTCAGACTCTCACTGATGTGTTCAAAGGGCTTAGATCTTGATCAGTCATCTTAAGTTATTAGTTGTAGAACAGTGTTTTTATGCTGTTGCATTATATAAATCTGATTTCTTTATTCTGGTGTGTAAATATTATTTGTTGGTATAAATAATTAGTTATATCAATTTGCTGGTTTTACTCATCTGTAAACCCTGAGTCTCTAGAAAAAAATATATATACATAAAACTTATTTGATGCAAAAAAAAATGATTCTTTTTCAGTGATAATGCACTGTTTCAGTAGAACTTGAGTGGATTAATTTTTTAGATGATGGTATATTATGTTATTACTGGAATATTGATTTTCATCCTGAATTGTGAACTTCTTAAGAAATAGGGTTATTGGGCTACCCTGGTTGCACAGTGATTAAGAATCTGCCTGCCAACGCAGGGGACATGGGTTCGAGCCCTGGTCTGGGAAGATCCCACATGCCGCGGAGCAACTAAGCCCGTGAGCCACAACTACTGAGCCTGTGCTCCAAAGCCCACAAGCCACAACTCCTGAAGCCTGCCTGCCACAACTGCTGAAGCCCACATGCCACAACGACTGAAGCCCATGCGCCTAGAGCCCGTGCTCCTCAACAAGACAAGCCACCGTAATGAGAAGCCCGCACACTGAAACAAAGAGTAGCCCCCGCTCACTGCAACTAGAGGAAGCCTGCACAGAGCCAAAAATAAATAAATAAATATTAAAAAAAAAAGAAAAGAAATAGGGCTTCCCTGGTTGCTCAGTGGTTGAGAATCCTCCTGCCAATGCAGGGAACACGGGTTCGAGCCCTGGTCCGGGAAGATCACACATGCTGTGGAGCAACTAAGCCCATGTGCCACAACTACTGAGCCTGTGCTCTAGAGCCCACACTCTAGAGCCCGCAAGCCACAACTACTGAGCCCGCACACCACAACTACTGAAGCCCGCGCACCTACAGCCCATGCTCCACAAGAGAGGCCACCACCATGAGAAGCCCTCACAGCACAACGAAGAGTAGCCCCCACTCGCTACAACTAGAGAAAGCCTGCGCACAGCAGTGAAGACCCAACGCAGTCAAAAATAAATAAATGGGGCTTCCCTGGTGGCGCAGTGGTTGAGAGTCCACCTGCCAATGCAGGGGACACGGGTTCGTGTCCCGGTCCAGGAAGATCCCATATGCCACAGAGCGGCTGGGCCCGTGAGCCATGGCCGCTGAGCCTGCGCGTCTGGAGCCTGTGCTCCGCAACGGGAGAGGCCACAACAGTGAGAGGCCCGCGTACCACAAAAAAAAGAAAAAAGAAAAAAAGAAAGGAAAATTTTTTAAAAATTATTTTTAAAAAACGAAATAGAGGTTACTAAATTTATTAATGTTCTTAAATTTGAGTTTGGAGGCTTCTGAAGCCTTATGGAGAATTCCAGAGAAGTACTTGAGGTAAAGAATTCAATACTACTTTTGGGTTAATCATTGACTCTTGATCTGTTTAACCTGCCTTCTTCAGTGCTGATTGCTCCTAATTTTCCTCCCTCCCTCCCGGCCTGAAAACTCTGTTATAATGCAAAAAGAGATTTGAGGTGGTTGAACTTTGAAAGTTTCTTCATTTGTGGTGCTGGAAAAACTTTTCAGTGGACGGGTGATATAGATCTTGGGATCTATATTTGGATGACAAGATTAACTCATTATTTTAGTAGAAAACAAATGTAAACATAGTGGTTTGTTTGGTTACAAGTCAACATCAAGATCAAAGAATTTTGTGTATACAGATTTTCCCTCTTGGTTTGGTTTTAGTAGCTGTGGCAATAAAACGTCCTAAGTCTAGCAGTAGAGAAAACTTTTAAAAGGGTATGAATGTATAACTCAAAATGTAGCACTTTAGCATGAGTACTCTCACAAGCATAAGTGTAGTATGTGGTACTGGCCTGTGGTCACTTAATAACTAGGAATTGTAAAGAATGCTGGCTATATTGTGAATTATGAGAGTCTAAAAATGATTCATGAATAGGGTTGCTAACAAACACATGATAGAATGCTGTCATCACTTTTTTACCTTTATGAATTTGTTGATGCTGGCCTTTATTATGGCCTGGGCTAAAACCTTAACAATAATTTGGTAGAGCAACATAGGTGTAAAGTGAGGCATGGTGGTACCAGCACAAGGCCACCTTAGTACTCAGGCTCCAAGTACTCTATCCTATTGCCACAGCCCTTGGTACTATCTGAAATTATATATCTGTATTTATTTACTTATTTAATTTTTTTTTGGCTGTGTTGGGTCTTCATTGCAGTGTGCATGCTTTTCTCCAGTTGTGGAGAGCAGGAGCTACTCTTCATTGCAGCGCGTCGGCCTCTCATTGCAGTGGCTTCTCTTGTTGCGGAGCACGGGCTCTAGGCGTGTGGGCTTCAGTAGTTGTGGCTCACAGACTCTAGAGTGCAGGCTCAGTAGTTGTGGCTTGCGGGCTCTAGAGCACACACTCAGTAGTTGAGGTGCACGGGCTTAGTTGCTCCGTGGCATGTGGGATCTTCTTAGACCAGGGCTCAAACCCATGTCACCTGCATCGGCAGGCGAGTCTTAACCACTGCACCACCAGGGAAGTCCCTATATCTGTATTTAAAAAATTTGTTTTATATATCCATTATCTATCTCCCCCTACTAAAAAGTAAGCTCTCTGGGAGTAAGACTTGAATTTTTCACCATTGTATCCTCACTATTTTAGAATTGTGCCTGACCATTAAGATGTAAAATTAATATTTGTTAAAATAATAAGTGAAAGATTATTAAGTGTTTAGTTCACCTTTATAAATAGCTTTCATAAATCCTAGGATTTCATAATTTTTTTCCCACCAAGGTAGATTTATTTTTTTCCTTACAGTTTTTTTTAATATATTTGTTGTTGTTTTTGTTTGTTTGTTTATGGTTGCACCAGGTCTTAGTTGTGGCACATGGGATCTTTTTAGTTGTGGCATGTGGCCTCTTAGTTGCGGCATGTGAACTCTCTAGTTGTGACATGCATGCGGGATCTAGTTCCCTGACCGGGGTCGAACCCGGGCGCCCTGCATTGGGAGCACGGAGTCTTAACCTCTAGACCACCAGGGAAGTCCCTTTTCCTTACAAATTAATATGTGCTTGATAGAGATGATGATGATGATGCATTTTAGTAACCCTTTTAATATCAGCAAATGGTTGTTTTGGAGAAAGCCTAGAAAGATGGACTGGAAAGTGTTTTGCAAATATTTTTTAATTAATTAATAACAAGTATGTTAACAGGTTGTAGAAGATCATAGGCCCAAAATTAAAAGGTTTTTCTCAACCTTGTCTCTAATGCTGTTTCTCAGATCTTTTCTCTGTTCAGTGGTGCTGGAAAAGAAATCTGTGCTGTTCTACTATCTGAGCTTCAGAGGGTCATGGGACTGATGAGCTGTTGAAATAGAGTGAAAGTGTCTTGAAGTCTGAAAAGGCTGTGGGGCATTTGGAAGGCCTAGAAAATCTTGTTCCAGCATTTAGTCTTATGAGAAATGGTCACTGCTATAAGGAATGATTGCCTGTAGTATTGCTTTCCTTATGTAGCTCTGCCCCTTCTGTTTCCAGTACCTATAGCTTTAGTCTGCTTAGCAGTAGATTGAATATCTTACCTATTCAACACCCTAATCTTCATTCGTTTCTTCCTGCCACATCAGTGACCACACCCAGGACCTTGTCTCACCTCTGAGTTCTTTTTTCTTTTTCTTTTTTTTAAATAAATTTATTTGTTTATTTTGGGCTGAATTGGGTCTTCCTTGCTGCACGCAAGCTTTCTCTAGTTGCGGCAAGCTGGGGCTACTGTTCGTTGCAGTGCGTGGGCTTCTCATTGTGGTGGCTTCTCTTGTTGTGGAGCACGGGCTCTAGGCACATGGGCTTAGCAGTTGTGGCTCGCGGCCTCTAGAGCACAGGCTCAGTAGTTGTGGCGCTCGGGCTTATTTGCTCCACGGCATGTGGGATCTTCCCAGACCAGGGCTCGAACCTGTGTCCCCTGCATTAGCAGGTGGATTCTTAACCACTGTGCCACCAGGGAAGCCCCACCTCTGAGTTCTTAAACCCTAATATTATAGACTCCAAACATAGCCTTCTGTCCTCACAGCTCCCTTTTTCCCTGTTCCCCTTATAGTAGTTCTTTGACTCACTGCTGCATCTAGACCCTTGACCTCTCCTGCACTTTGACCCTGTCAGTAGCCCTTTTGTCTTTCTCATCTCACCTAGAGTGCCTGCTCTGTTCCTTATAACAAGGTTATGACTTTAGACAGGTCTCTCCCATTTTCCTTTAAAGCTGATTTCAGTAATTCTTGATCAGATAGTGGCCTTGTTCACAGAGTGGGGGACACCAGTCAGAAATCAAATCCCTGAGCCGCCTGCATCCCTGCAGCCTTCAACCACCTTGGTGGCCACACTCATTTAATAGCTTCTTTTCTTTTTTACTTTCTCCTTTCCAATCTCGATTCCTTTTTTTCCTTTGCTTGCCTAACTGCCCTGACTAGAACCTCCAGTACAGTATTAAATGGAAGTGACAAGAGCGGACATCCTTGATTTGTCCCTGATCTTAGGGAGAAAGCATTCACTGTTTCACTGTCAGGTATGATGTTAACGGTGGGTTTTTTCATAGATGCCATTCGTCAGCTTAAAGAAGTTCTTTTCTATTCCTACTTTTTTGAGTGGTTTTATAATGAAAAAATACATCTGTTGAGGTGATCACGCAGTTTTTGTCCTTTATTCTATTAATGTGGTGAAATACATCATGCTTTTGCATGTTGACTAAGATATCTTTCCAGCTATGCTGGCTCCCATGTACTTGTGGATCTATGGGAATGTCTCTTGATGTGTTTTCATCTTAACTCTAAAGCTACTTCACAGTCTCTTTCATGGGCTTTATCCTCCATATATCCATTCATTTAAATCTGATTCTTCCACGGTTCCTCACTGAGTTCTCTAGAAGTCTAAAAGTTCCTCTAGACTTCTAATTCTGTAAATTCTAAGTCATATCATCTACTCCTGTGGCTCCATCTACTCTAATATGCTCTTAAGTTAGAAATCGATGGGAACTCCCTGGAGGTCCAGTGGTTAGGACTCTACGCTTCCACTGCAGGGGGCACGGGTTCAATCCCTGGTTGGGGAACTAAGATCCCGCAAGCTGTGTGGCACAGCGAAAGGGAGGGAGGGAGGGAGGAAGGAATCTGTATCACCCCTGAGTCCCCTTGGCATTTTACCCTCAGCTGCACTCTTCTTTACATTCATGCCTCCTTTTGTATTCTCTATATATCTCAAAGAAGGTGTCACTACCTCCCAGTCCCTTACACTGTGAAAATTACTCAGGATTCCTACTGCCTATTCAGGAGTCACCAAGTTCTCTCTGTTTTATTTTACTATATTAGGAATGTGTCTGCATCCTTCCATCACTAGACCTAAAGATTAGTCCTGACTTGCATAATCTTTGCCTGGGTTTTCGAAGCAATCCCTGACTGGTCATTCAACCTCCAGTCTTATCTTTCTCAACCCCTCAGTCTGTATTAAGTTCCTTGGGTGCTCCCCTAATGCCCCATGGATATCTTTAACACTATACTCCTCACACTATATGTAATTATATGTTTACTTCTCTCTGTCCTCCTCTGCACCATAAGTTACTTTAAGAATAGGGACCACCTCACCTCTTAATCGTCTTAATATTCCTAACACCCAGCAACAGTGCATGGTTATAGTATACATGCATTATGGTTTGTTAAATGAGTGAATTAGTGAAATAATTAATATCAAAAATTCAGTAAAAAAAAAAAAAAAAGAAAAAAACCTAGAGTGCTTTGGGAGGCCTAAGATAGAGCAGAGAATTCTAACTGGGAATTTGAAAGGGTTACATGAAGAGATGCCTTTTAATTTGAATGTTAAAGTCTGAATAGAATTTTTGGTGGGGGAATTCCCTGGTGGTCCAGTGATTAGGACTCCGAGCTTCCAATGCCAGGGGCCCAGGTTCGATCCTGGTCAGGGAACTAAGATCCCGCAAGCTGTTCAGCATGGCCAAAAATTTTTTTGAAAAAAGAATTTTTGGTGAAAGAGGTATCATTTCAGATGCAGAGGAACCTAAAAGCTCAGAGCTTCTTTTGAGAACAGTTTGGAACATAAGGCTCTCTAGGGGTAGAGTGGTAGGTGGAAAGGTAAGTTGAACCAGATTTTTCAAAGTATTGAGTACCGTGCTAAGGAGATTGGCCTTCATTCTCTGAACATTATGAAACTTTGTAAACTTATTAAGTTTCCAAAGTGTGATGTTGGAAAGTTATCACAAGCAGCAGAATGGATTGGATGGAGGAGATGAGGGATGTTAACTAGTAGTCCAATGTAGCAGTCTAGGCAAGAGATAATGAGGACTTCTACAGGACAGTGGGAGTGGGAAGGGACACATTTCAGAAATTTGCTCGTAGAATTTGAGCTGTGAGAGAAAGAAAGAAATTGTAGATTACTTCAAGATTTTTAATGAAAGGTACTGGGCTTTAGGGAACATACGAGAATCTGAGAGACTGGTTGGATGGGGCGGGGGGCGGTGCATGAATAGGGAACCAGGAAGAGGGAAAACTTGGAGATTAGACTATAATGAGTACTCTTTTAAGATTTTTCTAGGGCTTCCCTGGTGGCTCAGTGGTTGAGAGTCCACCTGCCGGTGCAGGGGACACGGGTTTGTGCCCCGGTCTGGGAAGATCCCACATGCCGCGGAGCGGCTAGGCCCATGAGCCATGGCCGCTGAGCCTGCGTGTCCGGAGCCTGTGCTCCGCAATGGGAGAGGCCACAACAGTGAGAGGCCTGCATACCGCAAAAAAAAAAAAAGATTTTTCTAATGTGGGGTTAGCAGAATCTCTGTGTAAGGATATGATGTAGGCAATTGGAATTAGGATCTAAGTTTCAGGAAAGAGCTTAGGGGTAGTGAGAGAGATTTGTGAGTCACTTACGTAAAGGTGGGCATTGAAGCCATGGCAGTAGATAAGGAAATTAGATGGATGTTCCTTCATGGGGTCCCTGATGCAGCAAGTAGTAAAGTCAAAGAGCTAGCTGCTTCTCACCTTTGCCTTTACATATACCATTCATGCCAGGCAGAGTCATCTTTTGTGTCCTTTGAATCATGAGTTGCTGACCCCAAAACAGGTGAGGAGATAATATTTGGATGGGTTTGGAGTGAAGAATTTTCAAAATGTATTTTCAGAGCTTTTACAGAATCATATGATGGTATGTTGTACTCCAGTAAATTTTGCATGTTCAAAGGAACTCCTTCCTGAGTTAATATTTAGTTGACTTTGTATGATATAGTAGTGTTTGAACAAGTATGATGAGAGGGTTACTTACAACAAAATTATCAAATATACTTATAAAATTTGGGAAAGCTAGGCCTTATTGTAGATCAGCTGAACCTGAATCTTTGGGAGTGAGGCCAGATTCCTCTTTAATGTCCCTAAATTTGAAAATCACTGATATACGTGATGAAATTGCCACTTTATTAAGTTTAAAAACGGGGTCCTTTTGAGATTGCCATTTTGATATCAGAGAATAAAGGAGGCATTAACTTCTCATTTGTAATCTTAAAAGAAATGCTAACTTAAATTAACCTTTCTTTCAGTTGAGTGTGCGAGGGAAAAATAAAAAGGAGAAACTTGAAGATTTCTTTAAAAACATGGTTAAATCAGCAGATGGAGTAATTGTTTCTGGAGTAAAGGTAAGACTATTTAATTAACAGAGGTGTTGGTTTGAGAATTTACTTCTTCTAAGAGGGAGATAGATTGAGATTTCAGATGTGCGGACGATTATATTAGAGTAAAAGAGAAGTTTGGATAGTAGACTTCTTAGGCCTGGGAAACTGGGCCCCTCACCCTGGGTTCCTCAAGAGCTCCCTTCTCTAAGGGGTAGTAGGTCTGCAGGTCCAAGTGGATTTGCCCACCCAGAGCCCATGCCCCTTTCCTCCAAACCAGACCATTCTCCAGGTATCTAGAATCCCGTATTTCCTTGCCCAAATCCCAAGCCTTCTTTCAGGTCCTGCACGGGCTTTTTCCTTGAGTTCATCTGCCAGTGGGTAGACTGGGCTGCTGGTGGCTGTCCTCCACAGGTGGTCAAGGAGTAGAGGGAAGACACAGGGCAGAAGGTCAGTGTGCAGGGTGGAATGAACATCCAGCCACGTGCACGTGAGGTCTCTCTGGGTGCCTTACAGAGTCACAGGGTGGGGCACAGAGGGTCTGCCTCCATTTGTACACTTATCCAGTTGGCCTTACAAATGTTAGGGGCAGACCTGGTTTCAGATTTGGAGTTAGAAGAGCTCAGTTGAGGTTTTGGTTTCGTCTCATAGTAGCTACATGACCTTGGAAAAAGTCACTTTCTTTCTCTGAACCTCAGTTTTCCCATTTTCAAAATTTGGTCAGTAATGCCACCTAGCTCACAGGATTGTTAGAAAGATTGAATGAGATGATATGTGTGAATATACTTACAAAGTTAATTATTTACCAAGGTAACACCTAAAATTTTCTTAATGATTTCTGAAAATGGTACAAAAATGGATTTTTCTGAAAACTCTAACCATTAAAATATAAGAGAAAAATGTTTATATTACATTATTAAGTAAATACTAATAAGAGATAAATAATGCTTTGTCATCATTGCCTGTTTTTATAAATACATCTATAGTAAAACTTGGGTGTAAAGTACTGTTTGATTTATACTTTAATTTTGCAGAGACAGAGCATTTGATATTAATTATAATTAATGTTGAACTTTTTTCTTTTTTTTTTCTTATTTATTTATTTAGGCTGTGCTGGGTCTTAGTTGCAGCACACAGGATCTTCACTGTGGCATGTGGGATCTTTAGTTGCAGCATGCAGACTTCTTAGTTGCGGCATGCATGCGGGATCTAGATCCCTGACCAGGGATCAAACCCCGGCCCCAAGTCTTACCCACTGTACCACTGGGGAAGTCCCTGAATTGTTTTTTTTTCCGGTACGCGGGCCTCTCACTGTTGTGGCCTCTCCCGTTGCGGAGCACAGGCTCCGGACGCGCAGGCTCAGCGGCCATGGCTCACGGGCTCAGCCGCTCCGCGGCATGTGGGATCTTCCCGGACTGGGGCACGAACCCATGTCCCCTGCATCGGCAGGCGGACTCTCAACCACTGCGCCACCAGGGAAGCCCACTGAATTGTTTTCTTAACATTAAGTATAAACCACTATATTGATTATGATTTTGATAATTTTATTGAAGTAATAGCTGACATTTTTTAAACATTTACAGTGTGGTGTTTGGTAGCCCACATTTCATTAATCTTCACTACAGCTCTGCAGGTTAGTTTAGCTCCATTTTTACATTTAAGAAAACTGGTACACATGAATTAGCAGATTTTAAATGACATTTTATCAGTACTAACTTCTGCTTCTGTGTACTGTTGATGTCAGTCTCAAATTACATCATTTCAGCTGGTGCTTTTTCAATAAACAATTGCTGTTTTAGAAGAAAGGGAAGTACTGTTAATAGTTTTTACTTTTAAAGTATTTCTAGTTTTGTCCCAGAAAAGATTGAGAACAGTGTTTAATATGAAAATTGCTCCCAGATAGCTAGTTTGGCCAGGTTCCCTAAAGCAGTCAGAGAGGGCCCTAATGACTAAGGGATTCAGGAACAGCATTCAGGAACGGCCCATAGAATGCATAACAGACCAAGAGAAACAGATTTTCACTTGTCTGCCAGGCTTTTTTCCCTTTTTTCTCAAAAGCAAATGATCACTCCCACTGGCAGAAGTATATCTGTTGGAGAACAGGATTGTAGAGGCGGAGCACAAGTAGGAACACATTTGAGTACAACACGTGAGTCTCAACCACAATGGGGAGCTCTAAGCCTTCAGCTGCAAAACTGTAGAAGATTTCTTACTTGATAGATAGAAACACATGTTTTTAAAGTCTGAACTTGTTGATGAAATCAATATAATGTCTGATTATTAGAGGATAGCTATGCTGTTTTACTGATGATCTTTTATGATTATAAGGATAACAAAGTGATTTATGTGTTAGACTAAAGCAAGTAAGTGAAAAAAACTCATATTTTCTTTTGATCCCATAGGATGTAGATGATTTCTTTGAGCATGAACGAACATTCCTTTTAGAATATCATAACCGAGTTAAGGATGCATCTGCTAAATCTGATAGAATGACAAGATCCCACAAAAGTAAGGTTTTTCTCTGTGGCTAAAGTTTACATTGTTTAATGGAATATTTATAAAGTTATTATGTTATTTACAGTTTGTAAAAGTCTTGATATAGGGCAGTGGTTCTCAAACTGTGGTCTCTGAAGCTTTGATCCTAAGGCCCTTTTAAGCAAGTCTGTGAGGTCAAAACTACTTTCATAATAAAACTATGATGCTTTTTGTCTTTTTCACCATGTTGACATTTACACCGATGTTGCAAACGCTGTGGTGGATAAACTGCTGGTGCTTTAGCACAAATCACGGCAGTGGCACCAAACTACTAGTCTTTGTATTCTTTCCCACAGCGCATTTGCAATTTAAAATTTCGTTTAAGAATGTCCTTGATGGTATAGCACAGGGGAACTATTATATTCAGTATTCTGTAATAACCTACAGGGGAAAAGAATCTGAAAAAGAATGGATACATGTATATGTGTAACTAATCACTTTGCTGTATACTTGCAACTAACACAATATTGTAAATCAACTATACTCCAGTATAAAATAAAAATTAAATTTAAATTAAAAAAAAAAAAGAATGTCCTTGATGAAGCAGTGAAACTTATTACTTGTGGAAAGTCTCCTCCCTTGAGTATACTTTTTTTAATATTCTGAGTGATGAAATGGGAGGTATGCATAAAGCACTTTGCATATGGATGTATGATGGTTCTCTCTAGAAAAGCATTTTAGTGAATGAGTTGCAGCTGAACTAGCTGCTTTTTTTCATAAAATACCATTTTTACTTGAAAGAACAACTGACAAACTGTGATTATTGAAACTTGAGTATTTGGTAGACATTTTATTAAAAATTAATTAAATGGGCCTGACACTTCATGGAAAACAGCTGACAGTGTTTGTTGACAATGATAAAGGTCAGGCTTTCCAGCAATAATTAGAATTTTGGAAAACTTGTATCAGTCACCATGAGCTTGCTTTTCAATAATTAAAGACTTAATCTGAGGAAATTGATGATAATATTAGTGTGATATCTTTGATATTATATACTGAAGTGTGTCAACATTTGGAAGATCTGTGTGATTCATTGAACTAGTATTTTCTTAATGATCAAAATTATGTATGTAAAAGATCTATTTAAAGTACAAGATAGATTAAAATGGGTTTTTTTAACAGCTTTATATTGAGATATAATTGATATCAATAAGCTGCAATGTTCAAAGTGTACAGTTGGATAAGTTTTGACATATGTATGATATCATCACCACAGTCAACATAATGAACATATCCATCACCACCAAAAGTTTCCTCGTGGCCCTTTGTAATCGCTCCCTCCTGCGCCTGTCCCCAGGCCACCGCTGATCTGCTTTCTGTCTGTAGATTAGCTTGCATTTTCTAGAGTTGTATATAAATGGAATCATACAGTATGTACTCTTTATGGTCTGGCTTTGAAATTCAACAAAATTATTTTGAGATTCATCCATGTTGTATGTATCAATAGTTCATTCTTTTTATTGCTGAGTAGTATTCCATTGTATGGATATACCACAGTTGTTTATCCATTCAGCTGTTGGTGGACATTTGGGTTGTTGCTGGCTTTTGGCCATTTGAAATAAAGCTGACATAAACCATCTGTATGTAAGTCTTTGTATGGACATATGCTTTCATTTCTCTTGGGTAATACCTAGAAGTAGAATGGCTGGGTCAAGTGTAAGTGTATAATTAATTTTTTTTTTAAACTGCCAAACTTTTTTCCAAAATGATTGTATCATTTTACCTTCCTACCAGCTGTGAACGAGAGTTCCAGTTGCTTCACACCCTTGCCAATAAAGATAATCAGCCTTTTAAATTTTATCCATTCTGCTAGGCCAGTGTGGTTTTAATTTGCATTTCCCAATGATTGATGATATTGAACATCTTTTCTTGTATAAGTCCTCCAACTTTATTCTTCTTTATCAAAGTCATTTTGGCCCCTCTGGTTTCTTTACATTTTCATATGGATTTTAGAATCAGTTTGTCACTTTCTACAAAAATGCCTGCTGGGATTTTGATTGGGATTGTATAGAATCTGTAGATTAATTTGGGGAGGATTGACATCTTAACACTGTTGGTTCTTCTGATACATGAACATGGTATATATCTCCATTTAATTAGGTCTTCTCTCAGCAATGTTTTATAGTTTCCTTTGTACAGATCTTATACATCTTTAGTTAGATCCCTAATTATTTTTTGATGCTATTGTAAATGTTGTGTTTTATACATCTCAGTCTCCAGTTGTTTTTTGCCAATATATAGAGATACATTGTATTTTCAGTGTTGAGCTAATAGCTTGCAACCTTACTAGATCAACTCAATTTTTAGCTTTATTAACTATTTTGTAGATTCCTTAGGATTTTCTACATAGACGATCATCTGCTAATAAAAACAGTTACACTTCTTCCTTTGCAATTTGAACGCTGTTTATTTCTTTACCTTGCCCCATTATACTATAGCTATACCCTCCAGTACAGTGTTGATGGAAGTGGTGAAGGCAAGCAACTTGGCCTTGTTTCTTATGGGGAAGGCATCAGTCTTAAGCCGTTAATTATGATAATAGGTGTAGATTTTTCCTAGATGCCTTTTAAGTCAGGAATGAATGTTGGATTTTGTCAAATGGCTCTTTTTGCAACAATTGACATAACCATATGGTTTTTCTTTTTTAGTCTATTAATATGGTTAATGATGTTGATTGATTTTCAGATATTAAACCAACCTTATATTCTTGGGATAAATATCACTTATATCATTAGATTTAATGTAATAGAGTACACAAAGTTCATTGATAGGATTTCAGATTCCCCACAGGAACTAACCCTTAAACTTAAACTGCTTGTTGAGTAGAGTATCCACAATTTTCTGAAAATATTAGTAAAATGCCTCCTCCTTTTCCAACGACACATCTGTTTGAGGCTAGATTTTCTCCCGATACTTGAACAAAAACAACGTATCACAGTAGAGTGAATGCAGAGCAGATAAGAGAATGGAGCTATTCTATTATTATTATTCTATTAATCCAGGCGCAAAAGAGATTTGCAAAACTCTAACAGTGTCACTGTGCTCACTAATTTTAAAATATATAAATAGTTATTTTCATTTAAAATGTTATGTTAACTTATAATGGTTTATGGGACTTCCCTAGCAGTCCAGTGGTTAGGACTCTGTGCTTCCAATGCAGGGGGCATGGGTTCTATCCCTGGTCGGCGAACTAAGATCCCACATGCCCCACGGCCAAAAAAGAAAACTAAAACGTATTAATGGTTTTAATACTGTTATTTTAAAATAGTAAATATTTAAAATTTTTGTTTTACTTTTTTAAAAATACAGTACATATTGATAGATGTAACCCGCATAAACAAAAGCTCTTTAGGGTCCTCAGTAATTTCTAAGAGTGTAAAGGAGTCCTAAAACCAAAAAGGTTCAGAGCCTCTGATATACAGACAGGTCAGTAGGTACCTAGAAGTACGAACCTCCGTTTTGGGGTATTGTTACATACTCTTAATAGAAAGGAGGAAGTAAAGAAGTCTCAGGCCTGGTAACTTCTATTCTTGTGTCATTCTTTTGAGAGAGTTAAGACTTCTTTTTGTATTTTATTTTCCTATATCTTTGTGATTTGCAGATTCATTCTAATGAAGTAGTAGTTCTTAGTTGCCTGTTCAGTAGTTAAGAACTATATAGTCAAAGTGTGGGAAACTTGAATTCCTTCCTAAATTCATTACTGATTTGCTTTAGAGCCTTGGGCAATTCACATAATTAGTCTTGTGTTGGTTTCCTTGTTTATAAAATGGCATTAAGGATAAAATATCTCATACTTTCACTCCTCTGTTAAGAAAAACTTTGTCCCCAACCCATCCCCTCCTGGCCCCCCTCCATCAGGACCCACACTACTCCCCACTCCCCGCACACACCCAGAGTCACACAGTGCACCGTGAGGGCTCCAGCGGCACCCTGTGTGCCTTCCTAGGAAACCCCACACTCCACCCACCCCCACTGGGCCCTGGCCCCAGCCTGTAGGCACACGCCCTTCCCCAAAAAAAGAAAAACTTTGTAAATACGAAATGGTACATACTAGTGTTGATTGTAATAATTAGGAATACCTTTAAGTTTAGATTTGATGATTTAAAAATGGAAGCCTACTATATATACTTTTTAAATTTCTTAAAAAGTTACTTAATTCATAAACATTGGCATATCTATTATGTGCCAACCATCATGTCAGACATTGATGATTTCAAGATGAAGAAAATAACAGTCTTTGCCATTAAGGAATTAATAATTTTGCAGGTGAGATAAACACTAAAAGCAAAAAATTACAATATATTGTAATTAATCCTATTATAGAGGTGTATATTAGTGCCATGGAAGTATAAAGAACTATAGGAATCATCTGTTAAGAAAACAGAATATTAGTGATTCTTACTGATTCTGTTTATTTGACCAAGTGGAATGGTGTTTTAGGGGAGATGATAGTGATCCTGTTTTACAAAAATACGACTGTTGGGCTTCCCTGGTGGCGCAGTGGTTGAGAGTCCACCTGCCGATGCAGGGGACATGGGTTCGTGGCCCGGTCTGGGAAGATCCCACATGCTGTGGAGTGACTGGGCCCGTGAGCCACGGCCGCTGAGCCTGCGCGTCCGGAGCCTGTGCTCCGCAACGGGAGAGGCCACAACAGTGAGAGGCCCGCGTACCGCAAAAAAAAAAAAAAAAAAAATACGACTGTTACATATAATTAATTACCTTACATATATAGTGGACCCTTGAACAACACAGGTTTGAGCTATGTGAGTCCATTTATATGCGGATTTTTCTTCAGTAAATATGTAGTATTGTAAAAGTACTACACAGTCCGAGGTGGTTGAATCTGCCAGTGCAGAACCGTGGATACAGGGGCAACTATAAAGTTAAACAGGGATTTTTCACTGCGGGGAGGGTTGGCACCCATAACCCCTGCATTGTTCAAGGGTCAACTGTAATAAAATTTTACAAAATTATAAAGTAAAAACTATTTTTTCATAATTAATGAACTTAGCCTGGATTATGAAAAATTAAGCTTTTCAACTTAATAATTTTATAAGTCACTGTGATTTATAAAATCAGGACAGTTTGTATATTTTTCGTGATCACATAATGCTGTAATAACTAAAGAGGGTAGTGTTCTCAAAGCCTAATGTTAGTTAGAATACAGGGATTTCTTGCTCCAAAAAATAATTTCAGGGTCAGCCTAAGCATAAACTATTAATGTATTCAATATTAAACACAGAAACCATTTTTGATTCCTACCTGTCAATAAACCAACCTTTAAGTGATTTTTGAGTAATATTATTATTTTTTTAACTTAACCTGTTAGGGTGTAGTGAAGAGTCTTATATATAAGTTACTGTTCATAGTCTGAAGTTTGTACTTGATGTTTCTTTATAAAAGATATCAGGATAGAAGATTTGAGTAACAATAAGTAAGTAGTCACCAAATTTCAGCCATATCAGTTGAATGTAATTTTGTGCAAAATAAGAAAGTATAATGTAAGCATTACTGTTTTGTTAGGGGATAAACACATAAAAGCCTGGTAAAAATACTACTCGTATAAGTGGGAATACAAAGTAGGCATGTCTAGGATTTCATTAATGATAGCAAACATTTGTATAGTACTGTATACACTATGTGCCAAGTTTATAGTAATGTTTACTAACTCATTTAGTTCTCTAAATAATTATGTGAATTGGGTACCATTATTTTCCCTATTTCCAGATGAGGAAACTGAGGCACAGGCAGGTTAAGTGATATGCCCAAGGTCATACAGCTGGTAAATTGGGAAGCTGGGATTGGACAGTTTGGTTACAGGTCCATGCCCTTAACCGTTGCACTATGCTATTCCTTTTCTGAAATTATAACCTTTTCTCAACAAGGGCATTGTCCTGTGGGGCAAGCCCTAGGAGGAGTACTGTGCTGACGTTGAGTACTTTGCTTCCTAGCACCCAACGGTAGTGGTACTACCATTCATCTAGCTTCCCAAGCTCCTGCCTCAGGTCTACTGTTTGTAAATCCTACCTGTTACATTTCCTAAATACCTTCCAGCTTTGTTAGTTCCTCTCTGCTCTTAGTGTTTCCGCTACCTTGATCCTGACCCTCAGCATCTGACACAGCAGTTTCCTGGTTGGTCACTGTGCCTTCTGTGTCTCTCCACTATTAGTCTTTATTCAAGGCAGCAGAATTTTAAAATCTAAAATCCTTATCAGGTTGATTGCACCACTACTAGGATTTTAAAACGTTTAATAACAGCCATTCCCACAAGATCAGGTCCACACTTCATCATGGCTTACAAAACCTTTCTTTCCCCCAAGATGCTTGGAAGAAAAATAAATTGATCTTTCCATCTTCAACCCTCTCCACTCCCCTCTGTACCCTGCAGTGCCATAGTCCCAGAAGGCTCTCTGAATATACTTTGCTCTTTTATGTCTCCCTGGCCTTTTTCCATGCCCTTCCCTTTATCCAGAATGCACTCTCCTCCTCTTTGCCTAGTAAAGATTTGCTCATCCTGCGAGCTCCAACTCCTATAGTGTCTGTAAATCCTTCCCTGACCTCCTCAGGTGAAATCTTCTGTTTCCCCTGCTCGCGTTGTAGTTTATACCTACTTCTAATATAAAATTCATCATTTTGTATTATAGCTTTTGTCATTTCTTTCACTAGACTTTGGGCATCTATATTACATACACATTTTTTTGACATTCAGTAACTATTTTTGAATCAATGAATAAATACATTAAATTCTTAAAACTTTTTCCGTAGGTGCTGCAGATGATTACAATAGAATTGGTTCTTCATTATATGCTTTAGGAACTCAGGACTCTACAGATACATGCAAGTAAGCATTCCGATTTAAAACATTAAATATAAGTAAAAGAAAATTTTTGTTGGCAGCTCAGGCACACACAGTACTTCTGACCCAGCAGGCATTTTGGAATATTTTTGTCAAAACACGTTGATAATATGGAGCTTCTTTATAAACTTAGGTCAGTGTCATTTTTCTCTTCCCTTTCCCTACTTTTTTTTAAATCTGAGAAATAAAAATCGACCTTAGTATATATAATTTTAACATTTACAGTGTTTCATTTGATGAAAATTTGCCAATTTGTATGTGTGAAAGAGACAGAATTTATGTTTAAATGTTCTTAGATTTTTATAATGTTTTTTATAAATAAGAAATGCTGTTTTAGAATTAGAATATATATATACACACACGTATGTATATATACACATATACATATATATACACACACATGCACACATATATATATATATATATTTCGTTGGAGGCCAGATTTCAATGTACCATAAATAATCTTAGTTGCTCCTATAATGTTTAAACCGGGCTCTCTATTGAAAAATAATTCAAACACATTTTAAAAATTTTAAGTGGAAAAACTATTTTCATAGTCCATGTCTTTCTCCAAACCACATCCATCCTTGAACTTTTCTATAGTATATCCTGTCTCAGTACACATGTCAGATCCAGTTTTTCAGCAAAACACTAATTAACATGCTACCTTCCCAAAGAGTTAGTTCTTAAGTATTTGATAAGAAGGAAAAATGTCAACATTGCCATGTGTTATCTTTCATAAACCTCTCAAAGCAAGTTCTTTTTAGTAATGTGAAGTTCATAAAATTCATTTTAGCTTTCGATAGTATTTGCCCTAATCCAAATATAATGTCATCGATAATTACATATTTTACAGGATACCATTTAATAGTTTGGCATGGGGATATTTTTTCAGTTGGTGTCAGCGTTTGAGAGATGGGCTTTTTAATTAATAGTGAAAGTGGGGGCTTCACTGGTGGCCTAGTGGTGAGGACCCTGGGCTCTCACTGCAGTGGCCGGGCTCAATCCCTGGTTGCAGAAGATCCTGCAAGCTGCCTGGTGCGGCCAAAAAACAAAGTGAAAGTGAGCTATGAAGTAGAGATTGGCTGTTCATTTGTGTTGTTTTCCAAAACAAAGCAGCTCCATTTGAAAGTATTTAAGACATAACTCTTTGGATGTCATTGCCCTGTAATAATTTAAAGGTATGGTTTTATTTAATATTATGTGGCATATTACCAAAGGATATCGAGACAGATTTTTTAAGTTTTTAACATATGGCTTAGACCGCCACCTTGAAATGGGAAGATTTTCTGTAATCGTATGTCAAAAGGAATCTGTCACATGGGTGGACGTACAGAGATTTTTGTTGAACTAAATGAAGTCTTCAGTGAACAAGACAAATATTGTAATGAGGTAAGAATGTTCATTATTAATCTGGTTTGGGGTATATTCTCTGAACATTTGAAATAGAAAATTATTTATGATGAAATATTTTTCCCTTCCAGGTTTTTTCTTAAAGTTTCAGAACTTTTTGATAAAACAAGAGTAAGTACTAATAATTAACCTTTGGGAGTCTAAATCTCTGCAAACGGTAGTGTTTAACTTGTTGGGCTGTGTTTAACTTTATTGAGGAAGATGAGTTATACTTCAAAAGGTTGAAGAGGCAGATTTAAATTTGGAAATAATGAGAGTTTTTCAGGAAATTTCGTTTTTGTTATGGTCTTTTGGTATATGTGTAAAAGTTCATACTCTTGATCAGAAAACGTGTTCATTAGGAGGCTGGGTTTATTTTTATGAAAGATCATTTTTTTCCTGGGGCTTTGTAAGCTAGAAGAAAATCTTAGATTCACTATAACTTTACCAAGATTATTGCTTTTGATCCCCCATGACACACTGCTTTAAAAAAGAGTTGTATCAACATAAGACAAAAATATAACTGCAGAAAGTTTTCATTCATAGTAGTAATAATTTAATACTGATATAGTCTTGGTTTTCAGGGGTCATGTTAATTTATGATCATTCTATCTATCAGTTGATAGTGAAAATGTTTACTAGATTTGTAATGGTACTTAGCTGAGAGTCGTGGTGGCTAGTCCATTGTAGAAATCAGATTTCATCATGACCTTGGCAGTTGAGTAGTGGAGACAAGTTGAAGAAAAGGAGATACTCTATCACAAAGGAAAAAGTTCTTAAATATGTAAGTAAATGTTATACTGGGGTCCATATAGCTCATTATTCTGCTTTGATATTTGTACCAGTGAGCATTTTCTGGGAAGATATAGTTGTTTTTGTGTGCGTGTTCATTTATATCAAAAGAATAGGAATCTATCACAAACAGCCTTATGTGTCAATTCTTTTGGAAGCAGATGTCAAGGTGGGATTAAATGTACAAGAGATTTATTGTGAAAAACAAAGAGGAACGAGCAGGAGTAGACAGGAGGGGAGCGTTCCGATAATAGTGCAGGTCTACACCTGCAAAAGGAGAGGGAGAGGAAGGAGGACTGTGTAGGAGGAGTTTCAGACTATAGCGCAGTCCTAAGAAAGCTTTGTCCACGTCAGAGGGGAGTGCCTGAGCCAGAGCTGCCCATTAGAGGAGTTCTACATCAGGCAAGAATGGGCTGGGTGGGGAGGATGGAACATAACTTTCGTATGAACATGGTTCCAGATCCAGAGATACTGCAGTTGGGGCTATCAGTCAACTGTGCTCCTTGCAGCAGGCATTTCTCTTGGAGATCTGGGTGGCACATTTCCATAGCCCCAAAATTCTTTATTTCCTTTAGCATTTGCATGTTGTTCTGGTTATTATTGCTGTGTAACAAACCATCCTAAAATCAGTAGCTTTAAACAGCAACCATTTTAGTATGCCAGTGAGCTCTTTGGTTCAGGAATTCAGAAGGGGCACAGCAGGGATGGCTTGCCTCTGCTCCATGATGTCTGGGGCCTCAACAGGGAAGATATGAAGGCCAGGGCCTGGAATCATCTGAAGGCTCTTTCACTCATATGTCTGGGGGTTGATACTGCTATCAGCAGGAACTTCCGATAGGGCTGTTGGCTGTGACACCTACATGTGGCTGCTTCCCATGGAGCTGCTTAGGCTTCTTCACAGCATGGTAAAGAGGTTCCAAAAGCGAGTATCCCAAATTATGGGAAGTAGAAGCTGCTAGTTTCGTTAGGCCTGGGCTTGGAAACTGGTACAGCATCATTCCTGTATTGGGCAAGCAGTCTGAGAGCCCAGATTGAAGGGGAGAAGACACATACCCTACTTCGTAATGGAAGGAGAGAAGCCCTATTTAAAAGCACTGAACATCATCTAGCATGTCAAGAAGTTCTGTAAGTTTGTTTCTCCATAAAGAAACTTCAAGATTTGTTCAAAACTTTTTATTAAAGTGTATTATACATGTAGAAAAAAACACATAACAGAAGTGTACAGCTCAGTGAAATGTCACAGTTTAACACACTCATGTAATGAACACCCAGATCAAGAAATGGAACATTACCAGCAACTCAGGTGCTCTGTTCCCCTTCAGCTGCCTTCTGAGTCACCACCTTGGCTGCAAGGCTAACCACTGTCCTAGCTTCTAACAGCAAAAATTAATTTTATTTTCATATTTTATGTAAATGGATTATGCAGTATATATCCTTATGTCTGGTTTCTTTTACTCAATATTACATACATAAGATTCATTGGTGTTGCATGTCGGTATAGCTCCTTCATTCTTATTGCTGTATAGTTTTCCATTCCAAAAACATACCTAATTTTATTATCTTTTCTACTGGTAGGCATTTGGATAGTTGCTAGTTTGGGGCTCTTTACAAAGAGTACTGCTAAGACCATTCTTATTTATCTTCAGCTGAACATAAGTATTCATTTCTGTTGAATGTATGTAACTAGGAGAGGAAGTGATGGTTCATAGGATATCCATGTGAAAAGCTTTTGTAGGTACTGCCAAACTGTTTCCCAAAGTGATTGTAACGACTTACATTCCCACCAGAATGAATGTGAGCATCTCACTGCTGCACAAGGTTGTAATATTTGGTATTTTAGCTGTTCTGGTGGATGTGTAGGGTTTTTTTATTTTAACAACAATTTCAGAGTCGCAGAAAAGTTGCAAGAATAGTACAAAGAATTCCTCTACATGTGTCACCCAGATTTTCTTAATGTTAACATTTTCTACATTACTTAAAGTTCTTTTATTCCCAGAAGTCCATGTTTATTGTTTTTTGCCCTTTGTGCACATTTCTCTCTCTCTTTTTTAAAGATAAGAATCAATTTTAACGTACCAGGACTTCCCTGGTGGTCCAATGGGTAAGACTCCACGCTCCCAATTCAAGGGGCTGGGGTTCAATCCCTGGTCTGGGAACTAGATCCCACATGCCTTAACTAAGAGTTTGCATGCCTCAAGTAAAAATCCTGCACTAGGCAAAAAAGATCCTGCATAATGCAACTAAGACCTGGCACAGCCAAATAAATAAATATTTTTAAAAAAAATTTTTAATGTACCAATACGATTATCAGTGATTCTCCATACTGTCATCAATACCTAGTATAGAAATGTTCCCGGTTGTCTCATAAATGGCTTTTTACGGTGGACCTTGTTTGAATCGGGATCCAAACAAGGTTCCCACATTGTATTTGGTTGACATAATACATTCTTCTTTATTCTCTGTCTCTCCAGACTGAATGAAGAGTTCTCATCTTTTTATTTTATTTTTTTAAATCATCCTTGTTTTTATTTATTTATTTATTTTTGGCTGCGTTGGGTCTTGGTTGCGGCACACAGGATCTTTTGTTGCGGTATGTGGGCTCTTCGTAGCGCAGGCCGGCTTCTCTCTAGTTGTAGCGCATGGGCTTCTTGCTCGTTGTGGTGCTTCGGGCTCCAGGGCATGTGGGCTCTTCGTCGCGGTGCACAGGCTTCTCTCTAGTTGTGGCATGTGGGCTTCTTTCTAGTTGTGATGCACAGACTTCTCTCTAGTTGTGGCGCACGGGCTCCAGAGCGTGTGGGCTCTGTAGTTGTGGCATGCGGGCTTAGTTGCCCCATGGCATGTGGGATCTTAGTTCCCCGCCCAGGGATTGAACCCTTGTCCCCTGCATTGGAAGGCAGATTCTTAACCACTGGACCACCAGGGAAGTCCCGAGTTCTCATCTTTTTAGTCAGACTTAATGTTTTAAAATTGTTTTCTGGTTGTCCACAGCAGAAGGATTGGTTTGAATTACCTAGTCTACTGCTGTTGCCAGCCTCTATTACTTTATAATCATGTGTACATATCAATTGCCATTGAAATGAATAGAGAGAAAAATACAGGTGAACCTGAAATATGATATTGAAACTCATTACAGCCAAGAACTTGAGTCAAATATAGAATCCTTCCGTAAATTCACTAATCTGTTCATTTTTTTGTCAGTTACAAAAAAAAAAACAAAAACTAACAGACTAACAAAAGAGAAGGAAAGGAAACTTGGTTTAAATAGGAATTGATACTGTAGTTATTTATAACTAATATTTTTATAATAATAAAGAAAACACTGAGTATAGAATGTAAGTACTGATTAAATACCCAATTTTTTTCCCTTTTTCAGAAAATAGAAGCCCGAGTGTCAGCTGATGAGGACCTCAAACTTTCTGACCTTTTAAAATATTACTTAAGAGAATCTCAAGCTGCTAAGGTAACTGTTCTTCTTTTTAAAATGGACTGCTTTACAAAAGCCATCATCTCCTTAGAGGTTGTTAGACTTAAGATTGTTAAAGATGACTTATCTCTTGATTTTAAATTATATTTTTAAGTATGATTTTTTTTTCTCCTTTTATAAATTGTAGGTCAGGGAACCCCACATAAATGTTTCCTCTATAAACTCCTGATAGAATTTGTCTAGAAAATTTTTTTAATTGAATTTGGTGTATTTAGTCAGGTGAAATACCTGCAAAGACAAAAGTAAAACCCCCAAATAACAGTTGTACAGCTAAAGGATTCCTAATTTTGTCTATCTAAGTCCTCTATTGAGGGTGAGAGAGCCATAAAACAGAGAAGTATGTTTTATTTTAAGGCATCTCAAGTTTCCTTTTGGAAATCTATGTGCAAAACTAAAACTCTTACTAATCAAAAAAAAGTTTAATAAAAACATCTAAAAAGCACTGAAGACTTAGTGGCTCAGATACTCCAAATTCCATGTTAATTTATGAATTGAGATGTACAGAAAATTCCCATCTAATCATGGGATTGCTGGGTCATATGGTAGTTCTATTTTTAGTCTTTTAAGGAACCTACATACTGCTCTCCATAGTGGCTGTATCAATTACATTCCCACCAACAGTGCAAGAGGGTTCCCTTTTCTCCACACCCTCTCCAGCATTTATTGTTTGTAGATTTTTTGATGATGGCCATTCTGACCAGTATGAGGCGGTACCTCATTGTGGTTTTGATTTGCTTTTCTCTAATGATTAGTGATGTCGAGCATCCTTTCATGTGTTTGTTGGCAATCTGTATATCTTCTTTGGAGAAGTGTCTGTTTAGGTCTTCTGTCCATTTTTGGATTGGGTTTTTTGGGGTTTTTTTGATATTGAGCTGCATGAGCTGCTTGTATATTTTGGAGATTAATCCTTTGTCACTTGCTTCGTTTGCAAATATTTTCTCGCATTCCAGGTGTTGCCTTTTCATCTTGTTGATGGTTTCCTTTGCTGTGCAAAAGCTTTTAAGTTTCATTAGGTCCCATTTTTGGTTTTATTTCCATTTCTCTAAGAGGTGGGTCAAAAAGGATCTTGCTGTGATGTATGTCATAGAGTGTTCTGCCTATGTTTTCCTCTAAGAGTTTTATAGTGTCTGGCCTTACATTTAGGTCTTTAATCCATTTTGAGTTTATTTTTGTGTATGGTGTTAGGAAGTGTTCTAATTTCATTGTTTTACCTGTAGCTGTCCAGTTTTCCCAGCACCATTTATTGAAGAGGCTGTCTTTTCACCATTGTATATGTTCTTGCCTTCTTTGTCAAAGATAAAGTGACCATATGTGAGTGGGTTTATCCCTGGGCTTTCTTTCCTGTTCCATTGATCTGTTTTTCTGTTTTTGTGCCAGTACCATACTGTCTTGATTACTGTAGCTTTGTGGTATAGTCTGAAGTCAGGGAGCCTGATTCCTCCAGCTCCGTTTTTCTTTCTCAGGATTGCCTTGGCTATTCAGGGTCTTCTGTGTTTCCATACAAATTGTAAAATTTTTTGTTCTACTTCTGTGAAAAATGCCATTGGTAGGTTGATAGGGATTGCATTGAATCTGTAGATTGCTTTGGGTAATATAGTCATTTTCATGATGTTGATTCTTCCACTCCAAGAACGTGGTATATCTCTCCATCTGTTTGTATCGTCCTTGATTTCTTTCATCAGTGTCCTATAGTTTTCTGAGTACAAGTCTTTCGCCTCCTTAGGTAGGTTTATTCCTAGGTATTTTATTCTTTTTGTTGCAGTGGTAAATGGGAGTGTTTCCTTAATTTCTCTTCCAGATTTTTCATCATTAGTGTATAGGAATGCAAGAGATTTCTGTGCATTAATTTTGTATCCTGCTACTTTACCAAATTCATTGATTAGTTCTAGTGGTTTTCTGGTAGCATCTTTAGGATTCTCTGTGTATAGTATCATGTCATCTGCAAACAGTAACAGTTTTGCTTCTTCTTTTCTGATTTGGATTCCTTTTATTTCTTTTTCTTCTCTGATTGCCGTGCCTAAAACTTCCAAAACTATGTTGAATAATAGAGGTGAGAGTGGGCTCCCTTGTCTTTTTTTTTTTTTTAAGTGAAATGTGATTTATTTCAGTGTTTTTTGTTATTTTTTTATTTTTGACTGTGTTGGGTCTTCGTTTCTGTGCAAGGGCTTTCTCTAGTTGCGGCAAGCGGGGGGCCACTCTTCATCGCAGTGCGCGGGCCTCTCACTATCGTGGCCTCTCTTGTTGCGGAGCACAGGCTCCAGACGTGCAGGCTCAGTAGTTGTGGCTCATGGGCCTAGTTGCTCCGCGGCATGTGGGATCTTCCCAAACCAGAGCTCGAACCCATGTCCCCTGCATTGGCAGGCAGACTCTGAACCACTGCACCACCAGGGAAGCCCCAGCTCCCTTGTCTTGTTCCTGATCTTAGAGGAAATGGTTTCAGTTTTTCACCATTGAGAATGATGTTGGCTGTGGGTTTGTCACATATGGCCCTTATTATGTTGAGGTAGGTTCCCTCTATGCCCACTTTCTAGAGAGTTTTTATCGTAAATGAGTGTTGAATTTTGTCGAAAGCTTTTTCTGCATCTGTTAAGATTATCATATGGTTTTTATCCTTTAATTTGTTACTATGGTGTATCACATTGATTTGCATATATTGAAGAATCCTTGCATTGCTGGGATAAACCCCACTTGATCATGGTGTATGAACCTTTTAATGTGCTGTTGGATTCTGTTTGCTAGTATTTTGTTGAGGATTTTTGCATCTATGTTCATCAGTAACATTGGCCTGTAGGTTTTTTGGTGACATCTTTGGTTTTGGTATCAGGGTGTTTGTGACCTCGTAGAATGAGTTTGGGAGTGTTCCTTTTTCTGCTGTATTTTGGAAGAGTTTCAGAAGGATAGGTGTTAGCTCTTCTCTAAATATTCGATAGAATTCACCTGTGAAGCCATCTGGTCCTGGGCTTTTGTTTGGTGGAAGATTTTTTTTTTTTTTTTTTTTTTTTTTGGGTGGAAGATTTTTAATCAGTTTCAGTTTCAGTGCTTGTGATTGTTCTGTTCATATTTTCTATTTCTTCCTGGTTCAGTCTTGGAAGCTTGTACTTTTCTAAGAATTTGTCCATTTCTTCCAGGTTGTCTGTTTTATTGGCATACAGTTGCTTGTAGTAGTCTCTCATGATCCTTTGTATTTCTGCAGTGTCAGTTGTTACTTCTCCTTTTTCATTTCTAACTCTGTTGATTTGATTCTTCCTTTTTTTCTTGATGAGTCTGGCTAATGGTTTATCAATTTTGTTTATCTTCTCAAAGAACCAGCTTTTAGTTTTATTGATCTTTGCTATTGTTTCCATTTCTTTTTCATTTATTTCTTATCTAATCTTTATGAATTCTTTCCTTCTGCTAACTTTGAGGTTTTTTTGTTCTTTTCTCTAATTGCTTTAAGTGTAAGTTTAGGTTGTTTATTTGAGATTTTTCTTGTTTCTTGAGGTAGGATTGTATTGCTATAAATTTCCCTCTTAGAACTGCTTTTGCTGCATTCCATAGGTTTGGGGCCATCATGTTTTCATTATCATTTGTTTCTAGGCATTTTTTGATTTCCTGTTTGAGTTCTTCAGTGATTTCTTGGTTACTTAGTAGCGTATTGTTTAGCCTCCATGTGTTTGTGTTTTTTTCCTGTAATTGAAATCTAGTCTGATAGTGTGGTCAGAAAAGATACTTGATACAATTTCAATTTTCTTTTAGCTGTTTTTCTTTTTCAATTTTCTTAAATTTACCGAGGCTTACCGAGGCTTGATTTTACAGAATAATTTTACTGCCCCAGAAATCCTGTGTTCCATCTATTCACTCGCCTTCCTCCTAACCCCTGTTGATTTTTTAATTGCCTTCATAGTTTTGCCTTTTCCAAAATGTAATATAGTTGGGTCTTTTCATTTTGGCTTCTTCACTTAGTAATGTGCATTTAAGTTTCCTCTATGTCTTTTCATGGCTTGATAGCTCATTTCTCTTTAGCACTTAATAACATTCTGTTGCCTTGATATATCAAGTTTATTTATCCACTGACCTACTGAAGGAGGACATCTTGGTTGCTTCTAAGTTTTGGCAATTATCAGTACAGCTGCTGTAAACATCAGTGTGCAGGTTTTTGTGTGAACATAAGTTTTCAACTCCTTTGAGTAATAGCAAGGAGCACAATCACTAGATCGTATGATAAGAGTATGTTTAGTTCTGTCTTCCAAAGTGCCTATATCATTGCATTCTCACCAGCAATGAATGAGAGTTCCTGTTGCTTAACATCCTCACCAGCATTTGGTATTGTCAGAATTGTAGATTTTTGCCATTCTAACAAGGTGTGTAGAGGTATGTTGTTTTAATTTGCATTTCCGTGATGACATTTGATGTGAAGCATCTTTTCACAAGCTTCTTATATGCCACCTCTGTGTCTTCTTTGGTGAGGTGTCTGTCTTGAAAAAAAAGGTCTTTGGCCGATTCTTTACTTTGGTGGTTAAGTTTTAAGAGTTCTTTGTGTATTTTGGACAGCAGTCCTTTTTATCAAATACCTTGTAAAAAATTTTTCTTGGTCTGGTGGCTTGTCTTCTTGACACTGTCTTTTGCTGAGCAGACATATTTTATTTTATTTTCTTCTTTTAATTTTATTTATTTATTTATTTTTGGCTGCGTTGGGTCTTTGTTGCTGCGTGTAGGCTTTTTCTAGTTGTGGCAAGTGGGGGCTACTCTTTTTTTCTTTTTTTTTTTTTTTTGTGGTACGCAGGCCTCTCACTGCCGTGGCCTCTCCCGTTGCAGAGCACAGACCCCAGATGCGCAGGCCCAGTGGCCATGGCTCACGGGCCCAGCTGCTCTGCAGCATGTGGGATCCTCCCAGACCGGGGCACGAACCCGCATCCCCTGCATTGGCAGGCGGACTCTCAACCACTGCGCCGCCAGGGAAGCCCCAGGGGGCTACTCTTTGTTGCAGTGCGCAGGCTTCTCATTGCGGTGGCTTCACTTGTTGCAGAACATGAGCTCTAAGTGCACGGGCTTCAGTAGTTGCAGCACGCAGACTCAGTAGTTGCAGCACGCAGGCCCTAGAGCGCACAGGCTTCAGTATTTGTGGCACATGGGTTCAGTAGTTGTGACACACAGGCTGTAGGGCACGTGGGCTTTCCGTAGTTATAGCACGCAGGCTCAGTAGTTGTGGCTCACGGGCTGTAGAGCGCAGGCTCATTAGTTGTGGCGCACAGGCTTAGTTGCTCTGTGGCATGTGGGATCTTCCCGGACCAGGGCCGAACCCGTGTCGCCTGCCTTGGCAGCCGGATTCTTAACCACTGTGCCACCAGGGAAGTCCCAGCAATTTTTAATTTTAAAGAAGTCCAACTTACCAATTATTTCTTTCCTGGATCATCCCTTTGGTGTTGTATCTAAAAAGTCATCACCACGTGCAAGGTCATGTGGATTTTCTCCTGTGTTTTGCATTTTACATTTAGGTCTATGATCCATTGAGTTAATTTTCATGAAGGGTGTAAGGGCTGTGTATAAATTCGTTTCTTTGCATGTCGATATCCAGGTTTCCCAGCACCATTTGTTGAAAAGATTATCTTTTCTCCATTGTATTGCTTTTGCTCCTCTGTCAAAAGATCAGTTGGCTGTATTTGTGTGAGTCTAGTGCTGGGCTCTCTTTTCTGTTGTATTGATCTATTTGTCTGTTCTTTGACCAGTACCACACTGTCTAGATTACTGTAGCTTTATAGAAAGGTTTAAAGTAGGTAGTGTCAGTCCTCTGACTTTGTTCTTCTCCTTCACTGTTGTGTTACTCTGTGTCTTTTGCATTTCCACACAAACTTTAGAATCAATTGGTTGATGTCTACAAAATAACTTGCCAGGATTTTGATTGGGATTATGTTGAATCCATAGATCAATTTGGAAAGAACTGACCTTGACAATATTGAGTCTCCGTATCCATGAACATGGAATATCTCTCCATTTATTTAGTTCTTTGATTTCTTTTATCCGAGTTTTGTAGTTTTCCTCAAAAGTTGTACATGCTTTGTTAGATTAATACCTAAGTATTTCATTCTCTGGAGTGCTAATTAATGTAAATGGTATTGTGTTTTTAATTTCAAATTTCACTTGTTCATTGCTGGTATACAAGAAAGCAATCTACTTTTGTATACTGATGTTCTCTTGTAAAACTTTATTATACTCATTTATTAATTCCAGGAGTTTTTCTATATAAACAGTCTTGTTATCTGGCATCTGTAAACAAAAGACAGTTTTGTTTCTTCCTTTCCAATCTGTATACTTTTTATTTCTTTTTCTTATTGCATTAGCTAGGACCTACAGTACAATATTGAGAAAGAGTGGTGAGATGGGACATCCGTGTGTTGTTCCTGATATTAGTGGGAAAGCTTCTAGTTTTTCACTATTAAGTATGATGTTAGCTGTAGGTTTTTTGTAGATGTTCTTTATCAAGTTGAGAGTGTTACTTCTATTCCTATTTTGCTGACGAAACAGTTAGTTGATTTTTGACAGAGTGCTAGGACAATATATTGAGGAAAATAATAGACTTTCAATGAAAGGTACTGGGACAACTGAATGGTCACATGAAAAAGAATAAAGTTGGACCTTCCTCACACCATGGATAGAAAATTTACTCAAAATGGATCAAAGATCTAAATGTAAGAGCTAAAACTATAACATTTTTAGAAGAAAAACATAAATCTTCTTGATTGCCTTAATTAGGCATTGATTTCTTAGCCATAACCAGAAGCATACCAACCAAATAAAAATAATAAATTGGACTTCATTAAAATTTTAAAAACTTTTGTTTAAAGTTTTTTGTATCAAAAACACTATCGAGGGCTTCCCTGGTGACGCAGTGGTTGAGAGTCCGCCTGCCAATGCGGGGGACACGGGTTCGTGCCCCAGTCTGGGACGATCCCACATGCCGCAGAGCAGCTAGGCCCGTGAGCCATGGCTGCTGAGCCTGCGCGTCCAGAGCCTGTGCTCCACAATGGGAGAGGCCACAACAGTGAGAGGCCCGCATACCGCAAAAAAAAAAAAAAACACTATCGAGAAAAATATAAAAACCCACAGACCAGGAGAAAATATCAGGTTGACCAGAAAGTTCATTCTGGCTTTTGCATAAGATGTTACGAACAAACTTTCTGACCAACCCAATATTTGGAAATCATGTAAGTCCCTAATAAGCGACTGGTATTCAGAATATATAAAGAACTCTTATAACAGTAAAAAGACAGAGAGTCCAATTAAAAAGTGGGCAAAAGACAAAAAAGATATACAAATGGCCAATAAATACGTAAAAAGATGCTCAACATCTTTAGCCCTCAGGGAAATGCACATTAAAACCACAGTGCTATATCACTTCACACCTACTAGGTGGCTGTAATCAAAAAGACATAACAGTATTGACAAGGATGTGGAGAAATTGGACCCCTCATATAGTTTTGGTGGGAAAATGTAAAATGGTGCGGTCACTTTGGAAATAGTCTGGCAGTTTCTCAAAAGATTCAACATAGAGCTACAAGGTGACCCAGTAATTCCACTCCTAAGTAATGAGATATGAAAGAGAAATGAAATGTGAAAACATGTCCACACAAAAACTTGTACACACATGTTCGTAACAGCATTATTATGAAATAGCCAAAAAGTGGAAACAAACCAAATGTCTGTCAGCTAACGAATGGATAAATCAACGTGGTATGTCCATACAATGAAATATGAGTTAGCAATAAAAGGAGTGAAGTACTGATTCATGCTATAAAACGGATGAACTTGAAACTTTATGCTAAGTGAAAAAGCCAGACACGGGAATTCCCTGGCGATCCGGTGTTTAGGACTGTATACTTTCACTGCTGAGAGCCCAGGTTCAATCCCTGGTCAGGGAACTAAGATTCCGCAAGCCGCAGCACAGCCAAAAAGGAAAAAAAAAAAAGGCCAGATACAAAAGGCCACATATTATATGATTCCTTTTTAAAATATTTTATTTATTTATTTGGTTGCGAAGGGTCTTAGTTGTGGCAGGCGGGCTCCTTAGTTGCGGCAGGCGGGAGCCTTAGTTGTGGCATGCACGTGGGATCTAGTTCCCTGACCAGGGATCGAACCCGGGCCTCCAGCATTGGGAGCGTGGAGTCTTATCCACTGTGCCACCAGGGAAGTCCCTGATTCCTTTTTTTTTTTTTTTTTTTTTTTTTTTTTGTAGTACGCGGGCCTCTCACTGTTGTGGCCTCTCCCGTTGCGGAGCACAGGCTCCGGACGCGCAGGCTCAGCGGCCACGGCTCACGGGCCCAGCCGCTCTGCGGCACGTGGGACCTTCCCAGACCGGGGCACGAACCAGTGTCCCCTGCATCAGCAGGCGGACTCTCAACCACTGCACCACCAGGGAAGCCCCCTGATTCCTTTTTTAATGAAATGTCCAAAGTAGACAAATCTATAGAGACAGAAAGCAGATTAATGGTTGTCCGTGGCTGAAGGTGGGGGTTGTGGAAGGAAATGGAGAGTGACTGCTAAAGGACCTGGTTTCTTTTTGGGTGGCGAAAATGTTCTAAAATTGAGGCTAGTGATGGTTACACAACTTTCTGAGCATACTACAAACCATTGAATCGTGCACTTATATGAGTGAGTTAGGAACTCCCCTGGTGGCACAGTGATTAAGACTCTGAGCTCCCAATGCAGGGGGCCCAGGTTTGATCCCTGGTCAGGGAACTAGATCCCATATGCATGCCACAACTAAGAGTTCACATGCCACAACTAAGGAGCTGGCGAGCCGCAACTAAGGAGCCCGCCTGCTGCAACTAAGATCTGGCACAATCAAATAAATATATAAATTTTAAAAATAAATAAGTGAGTGAGTTATGTGGTGATTTGAATTATATCTCAATAAAGCTGTTACTAAAAAAATTTAGAAGAATGACATGTGGCATTCACTGTGTGTTAGCTCTGGTGATGGGGGTGGCAGTGGCTGAGGGCAGCTACTAGAAACATGCAGCATATATTATCGTGAAGCATTCTGTTTTATAGGATCTCCTGTATCGAAGATCTAGGTCACTAGTGGATTATGAAAATGCTAATAAAGCACTGGATAAAGCAAGAGCAAAAAATAAAGATGTTCTACAGGCTGAAACATCCCAACAGTTATGTTGTCAGAAATTTGAAAAAATATCTGAATCTGCAAAACAAGGTACTCTTATATTAACCTTTAATCATAAGGTATGGTTTGGACTATTATATAAATAGTTAATCCTAATTTATTTTGTTCACAGAGCTTATAGATTTTAAGACAAGAAGAGTTGCTGCATTCAGAAAAAATTTAGTGGAACTGGCAGAGTTAGAACTGAAGCATGCAAAGGTAGTATCATATTAAAGATTTAATAATTTAAGTGACATAATTTACAAATGAGTCAGTTATGAAACTTTATACTAATTTAAAAAATAGAGAATCTTAGAATTGAGAGGGAGTTTAAAGGTTATCTAACTTAAACAAGAAAAATATCTATAATGTCTCTAATGGTCAGCTTTGCAAGACTCTAGTACCTAATATGGAAAAACAGTATCATTTTTTGACTAGTTGTTAAAAAAAAAATCTTAATAAAAACATCACTTAAAATTTTATTTAACATTTGCCATCTTCAAAGGGACTGAAAATTTTAAATGTATTCAAAATTCCCCAAACTATAAATATTAAAGGAATTTTTTAAAACTTTTATTTCGTGATAAATTTATACCATTTATAAGTATAAAGTTATTAAAGCTTAAAACTACACTGAGATTTTTGGTATACTCTATAATGAGCACGAATTTACTTCTGTGTAACTTTGACATAAGTTTAATTCCTCTTTCACAGTTTACCCTTCAGATATTTAAATCCTTCATATTCTCTATATATCTTCTCTTCTCCATGCCAGACATCCTTTGGCTAAATATTTTTCATCCCGTACACCTCAACAAGATTTTTATTGTATTATTGCCCTACTGTCATTACTCTTTTAAAATATTATACCTGAAAATGGAAACACATTTACATACATAGAATGATTATTGTTCACATTTCTTCTTACAGCATGTTTTATTCTATTTTTTTAACTAATTTATTTTTTATTGAAGTATAGTTGATTTACAATGTGTTGGTTTCGGGTGTACAGCAGAGTGATTCAGTTATACATATATATGTATATATTCTTTTTCAGATTCTTTTCCCATAGAGGTTATTACAGAATATTGAGTATAGTTCCCTGTGCTATACAGTAGGTCCTTGTTGTTTATCTGTTTTATATATAGTAGTGTGTATGTTACTCCCAAATTCCTAATTTATCCCTCCCCTCCAAGCATGTTTTATATGTATAAGATACAGGTTTTTTTTACTGCCATGTTGCACCAGCTTGATTTGGCTATAATCACACTTTTTTTCTCTCTTTCTAAGTCACTTCTTGAACCTCCGCCCTGTGGTTGTGTGTTTAATTTTTTTAGTAATTATTTTCATTTTTGTGGTAAAAAACACATAACATAAAATTTACCATCTTAACGATTTTTAAGTGTACAGTTAAGTAGTATTAAGTATATTCATGTTGTTGTACAATGGCTCTCTAGAACTTTTTCATTTATTGAGCACTTATTTTAAAAATGTAATTGCAGGCCACGTTTATGTCTGTTAGATTTAAGCTTGCTCGTCTTAGCCCAGCGCATTGAGATCTTTTGGAAACTTGGGTTTGATCATATAGTATTTGACTGTTATACTAGTTTATCCTGTCAAGTGATGGACATTTGTAATTTGTATGAACTCCCTTTTATGTCTTCATCTAAGTTTTGATTTAAAAGGTTGATCAGGATTAAAGGAATCACTATTTGTTAACCTACCTTTTGAAAGTAAGTGGCACCAAAAAAAATTTAGTTCCTTTCTATACTAATTGATATTAACTTATTAATTAATATTCTTCGGTTATAGTTATTTGGATAGTTAGGAATTCATTTATACTATTATCAACCATTATTTTTCCCATTTTATCTGTGAAGGACATAAGGAGTATCAAGTTACTTATTAAAATCAAGATATACGTTGTCTGATTTTCTGGGCTAATAACCCTGTCAGAAGAAAATGTATGGACCTCCCTGGTGGTCCAATGGTTAAGACTCTGCATTTCGCCTGCAGGAGGCGTGGGTTCGATCCCTGGTCGGGGAACTAAGATCCTGTGTGCCATGCATTGTGGCCCAAAAAAAAGAAAATGTTTTGATAAGCCTGGCATAATTTATTCTTATTGAGCCTGTGTTGTTTTCCAGTGTTCACTGTTTTTGTTCTTTTTAAAGAGTTTATACACTATCAAGGATTTTGTTATAGATTAAGGAGGGGTTGACAAACTACAGCCTATTCTGTACAGCCTGTGAGCCAGGAATGGCATTCATATTTTTAAATGATTATAAAAAGATCAAAAGAATAATATTTCATGACGTGATAATTGTATGAAACTCAAATTTAACCTATTAAGGTTTATTGGAATACAGCCAAGCATATTCGCTTGAGCTTATTCACTTACGCTTTGTCCGTGATTGCTTTCATGCTACTACAGCAAAGTTGAGTAGTTGAAACAGAGACCAAATGTCTCTCAAAGTGTAAAATGTTTACTGTTTAATAACCCTTTACAAAAAAAGTTTGCTGACCCTGCTTTAGATTGATGTCAGCCTCTGGTTTCCAGATTCTGTACTTTTTCAAATTCTTCCCGAAATGTGTTCTCTGTGTTCAAATTTCTGATAGCTCTTCTAGTCCAGTGGTTCTTAACTAGTGGTGATTTTGCCCCCCAGGAGACATTTAGCAATTTCTGGAGACATTTGTGGTTGTCGCATCTGGGGGTGGGGGGGGTCACTGCTGGTGTGTAGTGGGTAGAGGCGAGGAGTGCTGCTTAGCATCCTACGATACACGGACAGCCCCCACGAGGAGGGATCACACAGCCCAAATGTCGGGAGTGCTGAGGTTGGGCAACTCTACTCTGTTGTCTGAGATTTCTTAATGACTTTGTAAATCTGAACAAAGTCTCATTTTGGTCCCAGGATCCACATAAATTATTCCAAAAAGAGTAGATAATAGTTAAATGTACAACAAGATGGTTTGAAACTACTTTGGATTTTATTTATTGTAGCTGGTATATATGTCTTTGTCACATAATTAAAATCTAGTTAACTAGGTAGTTAGGTCACTTTTGTGTCCTTGAAAATAGGCTCAGATTCTTTATTAAGGAAGTAAAAAATGTGTGATATGGGCAGTTAAAAAAAAAAAAGTGATGAGCCAACTGTGAGGGTGTGATGTGAGTCCCTGTGTACCCCATTGTAGTTGCAGAGTTAGGTCCACCTTTGGCAGGGGCAGTTTGGCAGGTGTCAGCCTGCAGAATGTGCATCCTGTGACTCAGCGGTCCCACTTGAGGAATATACCTGTAAGAAGTATATCTAAGAAGGTAATTTCATAACTATAGACAGGCTCAAAGTCATTTGTCACAGTTCTGTTCTTATACTGGCCAAAAGTTGACAGTAACTTGAGCACCTAAAAATGTTTAATGTTTATTTTTCACTTAATTTTAGATTTTCAGGAACATTGCAAGGAAAGTACAAAGAATTCCTGGATACTCTTCACCCAGATTCCCCAAATGTGCATATTATCTCATCTGCTTTGTCCTTTTCCCTCCCTTCCTCCCCGTTTCTCTTTACACACACACACACTCACACTCTCACACACACCCCTATACACACCTGTTTTTGTCTTAAACCATATGAGTAAGCTGCAGATATGATGCTTCTCTCTTTTATACATTTAAGTGTGAATTTCCTAAAATCAAGTAATTAAGTACTCAGTACAGTTATAAAGTTGAGGAAATTAATATCAACATAATTCTGTTATCTAATCCAGAGGCCTTTATTCACATTTCCCCAGTTGTCCCAATAATGTCCTTAATGGCAAAAGGAAATTCAAAAGAATGTGTTGCATTCAGTGCACGTGTCTTCTTAGACTTCTGTAATTTGGAAAAGTTGCTGAATCTTTGTATTTCATAACATTGGACACTGTTAAAGCACAGGCCTATAGAATGCCCCTCACTTTGGGTTTGTCTAATTAGTGGGTTTAGGTTGTGCACTTTGGACAGGAATTCCACCCAGAAGTGATGTCAGATCTTCTTGGTGCATCACACAGGAGGAGGCACATGCTGTTGATCAGTTGCCTTACTGGCAATGTACAACTTTGATCATTTGCTTAAAGTGATGTCTGCAGGCTTCACAGTGGCAAAGTTGATATTTTATACTTTGGATTAAGAAGTATTCTGTGGGGAGGTACCCGAGACTGTTAAATACCCCATCACTTAACCAGCACCGACCAATAAAACTTTGTGCCATGGTGGGAATATTCTGTAATCAGGAAGTCTGGGTTCTGTCCAGTGTGGTTGGCACTAGTCATGTGTGGCTATTGAAGACTTGAAATGTGGGTAATGCAACTGAGGAACTGAGTTTTTATTTAATTTTAATTAACAGATCTTCATTATGCAGCTGCACATAGCTGATGGCTACAGCATTGGCATTTTGGTCCCATACTGCTCTTGGCATCCATTCATGATTTTTGCTTGAGTCAGTTTATGATGATGGTGATCGCCAAATGGTCATTTTCTAATTCCACCATTCTTTATACGTTTTAGTTGACTTTCTACTCTAAGGAGGAGGTTTTCCTTCATTCCTGTTTATATATTAATGTAATCTAAATATACTTAAATTTGCCTTTATATGTCTCTAAATGTGGATGCCAGTTCACATGTTTTACAAATGGACATTTAGGTATGAATTTTATAGAATACTTCTGTATGTAATCTTACTGTTTTTATGAAAAGTGCTATAAATCTAATGCTATATTTTAATGGCTAAAGGAATGTGATAAGAACCTGTCTTACAATCAGAACATACTCAGTGGCTTAGTCTGCATACAAAGGGCATATTTTATAACCCTCACTAGAGCATGCCAAATATTAATATTGGTCTAGACGGAAATTTACTGAACAACCTGGTATGTGGAAAATACTGTGCATGGAACAAATTCTGTAATTTTACGTCTTTAAACCTTTATTTGTATATAATAAATGACTTTTCAAAATTCTGGTATCTTAAATGTAAAGTTACGTGATTTCTAATACTGTATATTTTCAGTAAGAGTCTTTCACACTGTTTGAACTTCATTTATTTTCCCTCCCTTTTTAGGGTAACCTACAGTTGCTGCAGAACTGCCTGGCAGTGTTAAATGGAGACACATAAGCCACACTCTGCCTTCCAGTTAAAAAGGGCTGCCTTCCGTCAGATTTTATTTTTTTTCTTAATGATGCTAGACATTTACTGCTCACTGGAAACAAAAGAAACAGCTGATAAAGTGCATCTACTCTCCCTTTTTCTGAGAAACAATGGCGCGGTGCCGCCCTCGGGTGCTGTGGGCTGCATGATGGGACCTGCGCGCCTGCGCCTGCGCCGCGGACAGTTGATGATCATCGCGCCCTCCTCCTCTTCAGAAGCCCAAAGTACTGCCTTTTTTAAAGTAGCCTCTAGAACTGTGCTTATTTTATGAATAGTATTCCTATGGCTGCTAATCTTATTTACTTTTAAGTAATTTCTGAAGTTTAACCCTTTCAAAATACATTGTGTAAACAAGATAAGGATTGCCGTTACCTTTTTTTGAATTTTGTTTTAAAAAAACATTGTACACCACCTTAGTTCTTGTATCCTGGTAAAGCATCTTAATGAGACTTATTTTTAATTAATGAACGTTTCTTAGAAGTTTTGGGACAGACTTTACGTAATCTTTATAAGTATGATTTCTGAAGAAAAGCAAATGCATTAGTATGTTTGCCTTAAACTTGTAGACTAAACGAACTATTGTCAAATAAACAGTGATAACAGTAATAGTTTTTAACTCTGGTCACTCTAAAATTTGGAGTAGCTATAATCTACTATATTATGCTTTTACAATGCAGGTCTTAGTTTTTCTTTTTTCTTATTTCTTTTAAAATGGCATATCGAACCAAGTTCACCACTTTACAAAAGAATGAACTGCTTCTCTGTGTGCTTTTAGCACTTCATATAAGATGGAATTGGGCAGAGACAGTTTAGAGACAGCTGTTTCTAAAACAGGAACAGAGAGTATGGCCTGTTGTGCTTTCCAGGATTCCACCCCTAGTTCAGCTAATTAACCGTGCCACATACACCAGTGTATAGACTGGTGTGTAGAGAGAAAGAGGAGTGCTATAGGGAGCAGCACTTGTCAGTGGGGGAAAAGTTGGAATATTTGGAATAAAAGTTGCAGTACAAAAAGGATACTGTCAGCTACATTACAGATATTTGGCCTTTCTAATGTGAACGAACATTGTTATTTCTAGTTTAAAATTAGATTGCGTGGTTGGATTTTTCCACACTCTCTAAGTTGTTTCCCATGTGGAAACCACAGGCATCTGAGTTGGTCACCCTTCCACCGCGTTCCTAGTTTGTTTTCCCAAACCGTTTTTAAGAACACCTACCTGGTTCTCAGGACTAGTCGCTATGATTCCAGCCTTTTCTGCTGCATGGCTCTTGCCTCACTGGTGTGCTGGGTCAGTGTTTCTCTCTTATTGACGTTCCTCAGTGTGTTTGAACTGTTGATGTTTGTGTTGCCTGAGAGATTGTTTTGTCCTCCATGTCCCCTTCACTGGTGAGAATACGCCCCTGCGATGCCCACCAGTGGGTGAACGTGGGGTGGAGGGCCGTAGCTTCTGGATTCGGGAACAGTCCCTTCAGTGGCTGCCCTTGTGGCCTCAGACCACAAGGTTCACTCGACCTGTCTGCCTATTTCTCTACCATAAAAGACA